GAAATCATGAACATTAAGAAAAAGGTTATGTATTTAGTAGATATAGAATCTCTATTAACCAATGTTCCATTTCAGGAGACTATCGATTTCACTTGTAATTATGTCACAAGAAATTGATTAGTAGTGTCTTTATCCATCACTTATATAAGAGGTATTATCTCAGCGTACACAGAAAATATCAGAACTAATTTTCAAGTAAAAGCATACAATGGGAAGCCTCCTTGGGCCCTTATTAACGGACGTATTTATGCCGAAGCTGTGAAAAGCAATGGAAGGTACGCTTCGCTAACATGACGTGGCTGATACTTTCTTTACTGGCGTCATAAAGAGTCGATTTACAACTTCAATACTCTATTTAATGATATACATCCAACTGTTTGAATGACTTCAGAATTCGAACTGAATGGAAACTGAATTTCTTGGACGTTTCAGTGACTAGGTGGGACGACGAAACTGTTAAGTGGCGAGTATTTCTCCAGTACAAATGGAGTGGACAATATTTTAATTTTGGCAGTTTTTTCTTATCCCATGCAAATTTTCCTTAGTGGAATACCTGTTTACAAGATCCCGTAGACTTTGCACAAGCGACATATTAATAAAAGATCTAAGGCGAACAAATCCAGTTTTTTTTGCCAATGGATATCCAGAAAATTTTATTACACGTCACAATAAAGAGAAACTGCTCCTCTAAAAGACAGATTTCATACCAAAATAAGCCAGGCTTTCTAAGTGCATACAGGAGTAAGTCAAGGCTGCCTGTTATCACCGGTGATTTTCTTAATTGTGGTGGTCTGGATTATGCATCAGACTGTGGGGAGCGAGGAGACAGGAGTACGCTGAACCATCGATAAAAAGACTAGAAGATCTGAATTTCTCAGATGATATATATCTAATGTCCGGCAAATTTGAAGAATTGTGGGCGAAAACCAACAAACAGGCTGAAAAAGTGGATAGTGAAGACAGGACTCCAGGTGAACATAGAGAAGACGGAGATGTTGAGGATTACCAACTAACCAAAACAACAACAACAATCAGCACCAACCACTATCAATTGGAGAGATTCGAAAGATTACTTCCTTCACTTATCTAGGAAGCAGAATTTTAACGACAGGCGACAGAAAGGGTGAAGATGTCAGCGAGTGCATCGAAAATAAAAGATACGCTTTTATCAACCCGAAATTAGTCCGGAAATCGTCTGCGCTCCGCCTCAGCATAAAGAACAAGGTTTGGATTTCCCGCCTAAATGTAAAGTCAGTCAGTTCTGAATTGGTCAAATATTCACACTGTGCGTCACTAAAATCCTTTCCAAAAGTTTGCAGACCTTCTTCAACAGCTGCCTTCGCTGAAGATCAAATGGTCAAAAAGAATAAGTAACAAGAAACTCTGCAGTGGAAAAAACCAAACAAGAGCCCATTGCTCAAAATAGATGTAACTGAAAATAGAGGTGGATCGAGCAAACATTGAGGAGGCTGTTGGATGACATCGCGTGCCAGACCATTACTCGAGTAGAATCCCAATGAGAAAAGACCAGTTGGCCGTCCTGAGGTTACATGAATGAGATCGTGTGATGAAAAGATGAGAGAGTTTAGGCAATCGTGGAACCACCTGAAGAGGACGGCAGGAAGTAGAACAAAATGAAGATGTATTGTTGAAGCCCTATGTTCCACTCGGAACCCAAGAGGACAATAATAATAATAATTAAACTACTACTGAAGAGTGACCATATCATGCAAATTACAGCTGAAAGACTTTGGTTAGCTATCAAGTGCATATTCCACGCTACACCCCTTTTCCATACAACTCGAACTTTTCCAGTCCCTGTGTTTACGATTAAAGGACGACATTCTGTAAACTCTACCTCACATTGTGTATAAAAGTTCACTTGCAGTTGCGGTGACACATATGTAGGTAGAATCAATAGAATATTGCAATGTAGTCAAAAAGAGCATATTCCTAAATTGTAATTAGTTCGCACGGAGAAATCCCATTGCAATTAATCTGAACAGAAATCCAGCATTTTCCATTGGGAAGTATTTCTTAGTGTCTGATAACGAAATTATCATTAATGACTGCTTCTCAGTCATTTTACACAGCCTTAATTCAAAACTATTAAAGTCGATAGAAGTGTGGCGTGTGCTACTGATAAGATTTATCAGTAATATATAAAGAGATAATTGTCAGTATAAAAATATCCAAGAGCAAAGGGGGAGGTTTGACTTGAAAGACAGTAAATGATTCAGAGTTGCGGCTTAACGTGAGAGACACGAAAAGAAGACAAAGAAACACAATATGAAGGACAGAATTAGCTCAATGCCGAAGATCTCTACAAACGACAATTTGGAGATGAGGTGTACATAATTTCGATAAATAGAGATACGAAGTCTGTTGTATTCGTCCGTTACAGGTGTAATATGTACCAATCACATGCATCACAAATTATTTGTACAGAAAACAACAGACTTTAGATTTTGACGTACTAAAACACAACTAGTTATTAGAATACGCTTTTATTTTACATAACTGATCAGTGATCAGGTATATAATTTTATTGTGAGCCGTACTGGTTATAAATCAGTAGTAGAGAAACCAAGAGATTATTTAAATTAATCAAAGGGACTAACTGTTTCAGAAGTAGTTATACAAAATCATGAGGCATTACCTTTTACGACAGTTTAGCACAGAATTATAATTTCTTCATTTCTGTCCTTTTTGTTAAAACATTTCCTGTGCAGGTCGTCATCCTGATGAGTAATGAATCGTTCTGTTGACTGTAAGAGAAGTGTGCTACTGTAAGCAGAAATTTTTTTTGGGGGGGGAGAGGGTGGAATTCCTGTTTACCCATTCTAATTAGCTGCCTCAGCAATCTTCTAAGAAGTTTTCCCTGTTCTTAAGAAATTTTGGAGTGCATATTGAATATCATACTACCACGACTTATCTCTTCGGTAAACAGTTAAAAAAATAGTGTTCTTAATGCAAAGACTAAAAGTATTTATTATATGAGTTGCCGCGTCGGTGGCATAGCGGTTAGGATGCTTGCCAACCATGCACATGGTCCGGGGTTCAATCCCCGGCCGACGCACTCCTTTACTTCACTAAGCCAGAAATAAAAGTTGGTAAAGAGGAAAGGTTAGGCATGAAGCTATCATCCCCATCCTGCAAAAATAAACACTGCTACAGAAACTTCAAGTCCTTAGCTTGAGGCCCTATGTTCCACTGGAGAACGTGAAGGAAAAAAATATATGAGTTGCCTAAAAACATAAAGAGTGCTCTGATATACTGCATAGTGGGAAAGGAAAGTGGGACATGTGATTACGGTGTTACTATGGGTTTAAGTCCATTGAAATGCACCAGTTAGTCTTCGGGTCATCTTGTAAGAGAAGTATTGAATACGCCGAGACTAAATGGCTGCATAATCAGAACGACCTGTTATGCATAAATATCCACCAATGAAATCAGTTTAATAAACTCAATTTGTCAATGAAACTTCGGACACCTGTGACCAACATTTCTCACATAGAAGTGTATTATCAGCTAATAGAACAAACATGAAATTATCTCATGTTTGATTGGTCTACAAGAAGTCATATATTTTAAATATCTACTTTGAATATGTATTAAATTCTATTTGAAAATGTTGAATGACCTCAAAGATTTATTCCCATATATCAAGTATAAGTTGCAAATAATTACTACTCTGCTTTTATTTACCTACAAATTGGTCGACTCAAACGTTGATCGGTGTATAAGCCAAGCTGTTTTACTGAGTGAATGTAGGATATTGCATTCAGTAATTGAATCTGAAAATATCGATTTGAACGGCTGTTTGATGCGCTGTTGCTCAGATTATGAATGTGTGGGTGTCAACTATTACGTTGGTCAAAATGTAAGTGTGAATTTATAAATCTGACAGTATTTTCATATTTGCGTTGATGTGGAATGACTGTTTATTCTATTGGATATTTGTTGCATTTGGATGTTGAAATATTTAGCCATAGTTATATATATCGAAGAGTTGTACTTTGTGGATCCAATGTAGGACCATCAAATTTAGAGCCTAGCAAGTTACTCTTTAGCCACTGTATTGATATCAGACGGGTTACAAATTTTACCTCCTATCATCTAACAAGTCAGCTCCACCTCTATTCATTGTTACGGTCGATCTCTTATGTCTCGAATCTTCATTAAGATTTCAAAAGTTTTATCTGTACGCATTACTGAAAACTGAAAAACTACAACAATATACATGTACATATCCCTCTAGTCAGAAGTTGATTAACGTTGGCAGAATATTTGTGAAGCTTATAAACTGATTTGCTGTTTCATTGGATTCACATAATCTAGTTGAAGAATGAAATTTTCCTTTTACAACCCAGACTCTAATCAGAGGTTTGTTACTTTTTCAATAGTAAATTGGACTGGAATGTCTTTGGCAAATTTATGGAACTGATTATTTCACCGTGAATATATACTGACTAACAAACAAAGCTCATATATTTTTGATATTAGACGATTGGAAGAGATCAGTAGGGAACCTAGACATTGGTTTCATTCTCATTATTACTCATCAACAAGGCACATCTGCAATATTGAAAGAATTGATGTCCCTTTGGAGATTCGAGACTGTGTCACCACCCAGTTCTACAGTCAGTCACATTACTACTGAGCCAAATGAGCTTAGGGTTATTGATTATTTATTTTATCCCTTTACACTCTGAGTGGAACATAGGGCTTCAAGCTAGAACTTCGAAGTTTCGGTATCAGTGATTTTATTTTTACCGAATGGGACTGCTAGCCTCACGTCCAACAACCCTCTTTACCGGCCTTACTATCGGATTAGTGAAGTCTACGGAGTGCGTCTGCAAGGGAAGAACACTAGATCACATGCGTGCTTGGTGAGTGTTCCACCACCGAACCATGGTCGCTTGAGGTTAGGTACCTTGATCATCACATATCTCAAACTCATATTTTTACTCCCTTATTTCTAAAATTATGTATTTCAGATGAATATGAAACTAAAGTGTGCGCTGATTTATGCCGAAGAAGTTGTTTGCTTTGCGACAGTGAATGACTGGGATTACTACTATATGCAACCAATCATTCATCCTGTTAGCTATATTCCTGCTACACCAGAAAATTCACATCTTTGTTATGGTGAGTTGAATAATACTGCCTATCAGTCATTTTGCTTTTCTAAATCTCATTTTGTGATATATATTCACGCAAAAATTAGAATCAAGGAAACTGCTTTAAATGATGGCGCTTTTGAAGCTCCCAGTGTCAAACGAGTTCATTCTGTTATACTTTCACAGTTAGGAACATAGGGACACGAATTTCTTTGTTGCACTTCATGACATACACCATTTCTGTTTGATATTTCTCATAATTTCATACTACATAAAGTAAGAAAATTGTACTAATAACAGATATAGCTTATTGTGAGAAGACGAAGATAACACTGACTCTCATTTCACGAGGAATCCACAGGGATAATAATGATATCTGGTTTCATTTCAGGGCAGTATCATTTTGATACTAAATACTATCCAGAGTGATTCGACTGGTAGATTCTCATTGAAGTCAACATGTACTGGACTTTCTCACTAGTGTTTGTTTTCGCCACGTGTTGTTAGACTAATACTAACATGGTTGTATTTACTGAATGTGTATGCTTAGTGGACACAATATTTCAGATTACCTCGTGAATGTCAAATGTACTCATCTTCACTTGAAATATTCATTGATGGCAGTTGCATATGACATTCACCAGCAGTTTAAGGTTTGAAGAAGTGTGAAAGAGGATTGGTTGTCACTGTAACCGTGAACTGATGCCTCCCAGGTTAGTCTACATTGAGTACGCAACTCCTGAGTGTCATTTATTTAGGTGGTTTTGCGGCATATTTTTCAAGTCTTTTCAACACTATCAGCACATCTGTACTTTACCTCCTCTTCTTCTTCATCTTCTTATCCTTCTTCTTTTTCTAATTTTGATTTGAACAATAGATATATCACTTTCTTTTGTTCGATCAGCAGTGATGTATTAACTGTCACATTCATTGTTCAATGAACAGTTTACTTTTTCAAATACATCTATGTGTACACAGGTGGTCATTTTTACTATAGATGATATCTTGTGATGTTATTGTTGAGTGTATTAGGCAAATAAATTATTGCGATATGCTTTGTTTTCTGAAATTTCCCCCCTCATTTATTGTGAATTTCAACAGTTTTTATCACATAACGATATTGATTACAGGAACATTAGAAAACCAGGAAGTACTGGACAGATGTTCCTTCCTGATTTAGGATACTTCAGTAATGCCCACCCATCACCCCACAGGGAGTCACACTCAGTACTATCAGTTTACAAAGTTAGCTTGTAGACCCTTCCTTCAGCTATTGAGATCCAATCCAGTTAGAGTCGACAATTAGTTCTGTTTTGTACATCCATTATTCTGTCTTACACATGAATTTAAAGTGGATATGATTTCGACGCTCTTCGTTACTAGATAGATATCTTGTGTTGGTTTCATCATCTCTTTGAGTGATATGATCTTTGAGGAATGCCACTCAGCCAATAACACATAAAACATAATAATCACTACCTGTGTAGTACGCCGATATGGACGACTGAAACATGTTTCCGCAAACTTACAAGGACTGACTATACTTTTTCTTTGTTACTTTCAACATTATTTCTAGTATCACATCAAAACTGTCACGAATCTAATGGTGTTACACTGCACTTACTTTTCTAGCATTAACATAATATTTTGACGTTACACAGAACAGAGTTTGCCTGAGTAGTTGTTACAAGATAAGTCGCACGATATTGTCCCCCCTCTCCCTAACTATAAGTGACTGGAATCACTAATGTGCTACATCTGTTTTTTTACAGTCATCATGGTGTCGAGGAATGTGTCGATACGAGGAGCGTTTGCCTATTTTTGCTTCTTTTTAACTAATACAGGAATTCTCTTCACTTGATTGCAGAAATTTTAGTTAGTTCATTCAAGCCTGTAGAACAACACTAGGATACAATACTCCATCATTGTGAACTAGGTCGTATGAACTTATGTATTGTCTGTTTATGATTCCAGTGCATCAGTAAAGTCCTACGCTTATTTTATTTATTATCTTCACTTCTCTGGTGTTATAAAAGTAAACTTAATACATCATGATATTGACAATAATTACTCTAGAAGTGCACCGTTTTATTCAAAGGAACATTTTCGCTGAAAGTGACTTGATTGCGTGTAATCCAACCTAAGAAGCAGTTTCTGGTAAGTGCTACTTGACTACATAAAAACACCCGCCTAATGCTTACGTTCTAAATGTATACGACAAGTAAATAAACACGAATGTGCCTGCTTATGTTTTCATTAGTAGACGTTATGTCCGGTGTATATACTGAATGACTGTAACACTAGGGCTATTCGTGTGCTAAAGGGTTTGAACATCTTATAAATTCGTAATAAACGTCAGCCAAAAATCCTTGAACTGACAATTACATCAAAGAGAGATTGCTATTGAATTACAGAATTTTCTGGAGAATCGTACAGATTCAGAATTGCATATCTGGCACATCTACTCAGAACTCTAGTGGAATTCATTTTGTCTATACTTGACATCATCATCATCACTAAACGCGTTTTAAACTTGCTACAGTTGCTACAATAATGAAGCTGATTTGTGGGAAATCTGAAGCGAATAAGTTTTGGTTAGATGTGTAGGAAGAGTGCTGATATAAACGCCTCAATGCAAACCAACAGACAACTAATCTTTTGAGGAAAACTTTTAAGTAAATTTTCATTTGGATGTTTAGAAAGAGAAATAAATCTAGTCTTCTTGAAAACCAAATTCACTTCAACATTTAGCTTATGAATCATGTCAAATTTGAAATGTACGGCAGAGAAATCAGTATACATGAGTTTTGTGTAAGTGTTCACCGAGCTTAAACTAGGTCATGATGTTCAGATGAGTATTGTATGAGAGTCGTTTGCTCGATCACATAGCATAACAGTTTGTGATTGGTGAATACACTCTCAGTTTTGAGCCTGTCTTCTACCTAATGATATATTATACAATTAGGTTCTGTTCATGAGAAATTCTGAAGCATGCTTACCCTACATCGTACAAGGTGAACAGAACCAAATATTATTAAGAATAAAAGGAATAGGAAATTCAGGTGGTTCATTGTTCAGAAAGTCACACATATTAATTATTTGAGTGACAGATATAATTGTTTTGCGTATAATAAGGTAAGCTGATGAGTGGTGGGTGGGGAAGTCCATACTGTTAGATTGATGTGAAATGATAATAAGCTACATGACTTCCATTTTGGAGTGGTGTTTTAATTCAAAATATAAATAAAGTGAAATTGTTAATTTATATTTCATTGCTGATTAGTGGTTATGAATGAAACACTGAAAACCAAGAAACACTGGACTTCTTTTCAGTCACTTAAAAGACCTTTCAGAGTCATGTATCTGAAGCCTCACTAGACGTTGAGTAAAAGACTTTTCTACATTAGGAGTACGTTTTAATTTTCCTCCATAGTGTAGGTATCCAATAATTTATAACATCTTGTTTCTGCCTACTTTCAGCACTAAGGAAATCTTTCTGTTTTATTTGCATACACAAAACCAACATCTGCTTAACACTATATTAATCTTGTTCGAGGGTCACTTAAATGACAATTCAATAACTGCATAAGACTCACAAATAACTGTCTGAAGAGTCCAGGTCAAACGTAGACCTTTCTTACCACTTTCGCAGACCTGAAAACGCAAGACGAAGTAGGTTTAGTCACTAGGATAAGAAATATTTTTACAGTTTACATTTTCACAGATGTAGGTGGTTAAGTAAAAACAGTTTGATAAACACAAGGGTATATGCTTTTTTAATGAGGTCCATAATATGCACTATACAAGTGACCGAAAAAATAAAGTGAAGCAACAAAAGTTTAAATTTCAAGGATAAGAGGAAAATGTGTCGTCTTTCAGTGACATGATCAGTTGACATAAAATGCTGGTCTGTAATGAAGTCAGTCTTAACATTTGACTCCAGTCATGTGTCGAGCTTAAATTTCTACCTCTTTCAAATGAACTGCAGGGGTTGTCCTTGATAAACAGTAACTATTTCCATCTATCGCTAATCTTCAAAAAATTAGTGAATGTGTTCTGAAATCTTGATTGTAGCCAATGTCTTTTGATAGACGCGTAATTACCATGCATACATGTATTAGTATCTACCTACTGAAATGTCTAAACATTTGCGAAAAACATGATATGAGGACTTCTAATTATCTTTTTCTGATGATAAAGACTAGAAATATCCATTCCGCAAGCATTCGCAAGATTAAGTATATGACAGTAGTCAACGATCCCTTATTCACTGAGCTCAAAATTGAAAACAAGTTTCAAGAACCACATAAGATTCAGTTTGACAAAGTCGTGTGAGTTTGTTGATAAGCTTCCTGGTAGGAAGACCATAAGTATCATTGATATAAGAATAAAACTTGGGCACTGTGGTAGAATGTAATTCCATTATGGGTAAATTTTTATTTTGATAGAGTCTCACAGTGTTATACAGTAATATTTACTGATGACGTTTCGAGCACAAACTATTGCTCATAATCATATCACCTTGATATAACACTGTGAGACTCTATCAAAATAAAAATTTACCCATAATGGAACCACATAAGATCTCCAACAAGGAAGTTATATATATATATATATATATATATATATATGTAAATCACTCATGAAATGCCTCTCCAAGAATGGAATGACAATACCAAATGCTTTGTCCGTTAATTTAAATAAATAAATAAAGTCCCCTCTAGAAAGCATACCATGTTCACCTTTTTATGTTATACTGAGAACGATAAGTGTAAGCTGTGATTTAGCCACTGATTCGTTAAGTTGAAGTAGTAGACGTACTTTTTATTCGCTCACTAACTTACAGATGTTCTTCAGAAAGAAAAGTATGAGTGTAAGTGATAAAGTGAAGTACGAATCTATTTTTAATTCAATAGGGTTGTTGAGTCTCACTATACGGGATTTTGTAGTACAGAGTGTAGTTATCGAAGTCACACCATTATAGGTAACTCCGGTATTTGCTGCACAATTTCACATACGACATAAATAGTTATTTAGAAGAGTCAACTGTCTAATTATGTTTGCTTACAAGTGATTCAATAATTGCTTTAAAGCCATATGCCTGATGTAGACGAAACAGAATTAAGTACCTTCTCATAGCCATATTAGTGTTACTTTTATTATTATCCAAGCTCTTAAAAGCCTCACCGATGATATTCCTAATTGAGATCAACTGCGTTATGCATCAGACTGTGTGTTTGTAGCGAGGACAAAAGAATAATTTGTGCCAATGCGAAGACTCTAGAATATCTATATTTCGCGCGCGTATGATTTGTGTTTAATGTCACACAAACTCGAAGACCTAGAGGCGAGAACAAACAAACTGGCTGAGAAGGCTGGCAGCGAAAACAGGACTCCAGTTGAACATAGAAAAGAAGGGAGTGATGTGGATAACCAGCCAACAGCAAGAACAACCAACACCAATCAACATCCACGGGAGAGATTTGACAGAGGTTACTTCCTTCACTCGATTTCAATCATATGTCAGCGGAACGGATGAATACATGAAAGTCAGCCAGAATCAGAATGACAGTATGCACCCTCATCAACCTGAAACCAGTTTGGAAATCTAACTCAGCAAAAACAAGATTCGGATTTTCAACACAAATATGAAGTCAGTCGGTTCCTCTGACCATTGTTCGAGTGGAAACCGAATGGGAAGTAACGAGTGTGTTGTCAGTGTGAGGGTGACATGGAGGAAATCATTTGAGGAGGAGTAGATGAGAGATTATCGACAATCGAGGATCCAGCTGAAGAGGACAGCAGAAGATAGAACAAAGTGTAGATGTGTTGTTGCAGTCCAATGCTCCATCCCGAACCCAATGTAATCATAATAATAATATTCTTTAAAACTTCAGTCATCAACAGTTCATAGTAGTGAATTCACTTCAGACAAATAAATCAAGCAAACAGCTTGAAATCATGTGCGGATTTGTGAACCAGCCATGTCGCGTAGTAAATGCTATGTATAAGTAAATGATAAAGCGTTACTAAGTGTTGCATAACGTTAAGTTTGATTATGACTGAGGAGAAGAATCAGTCCGTAAGTGAATGCCTTAGACATAACCGAGTAGAATTAATAATTCTAGCCATCCCAATGTATACCATATGGAATCTAATAATTTAAGCATTCTCTTTATGATAATTGTGTGTATAAAAACTACTGGTCAACAGTTGATGAACTCCTAATTAACATCTGAATTTCATACAGGAGAATCTTTATTGAATAACATGAACAGTTTTCATCGAACATGATGGACACTTCTCATGAGTAGGAACTGTTCATACAACCTATTTAGAAGGAGTATATTCTTCAATTTACAAATCACTATTATTTAACCACTGTTCAGAGCGATGAAAAGAATCTTAAGAGCCACATCAGTATTCCTGAAAGTGTAAGAAATTGAACAAAGTAAAAAATTACAGTTTGTGAAGAATAAGGTGAGGGCATCATTTTGTCGGTTCATATTCAGCTTCGCACAGCTCTGATCAAATTTCCACTGGTTGACTTTGCAAACTAATATCTCACTTCACCAACATTGCTTTCTTAAATCCTACCAGAAAACAGCGATGAACAATAAAGGTATGAAGGAGAATGACAAAATGATGATGCTGTGACCTGAAAAGGCTCAGCAGTGGTACTGATGGATCAAGATGACTACATGACAAAGATGAAATTCGTTCGCAGCGATCTGTTGAGGTTTAACGGGAGAAATGTCAACATAATTGGGGTGATTCATTTGAAAGACGCACCAGGAGTATACTGAGAGGGCTGTTATGAAAACGTAATGACTCAAAACCACGAGAATATCGTATAACTTACTTATATGGCCTACCAAAAATAAAAAAACGTGTTCTCTTGAGACCTACACTATCTGTGATCAGTTATCATAAACAAATAACGTAAAACATTCATTCCATTTCGTTGACAGTTTCATTCACACAAACGTCTCCAATAACTTTTTAGTGTCATTCAACATAACTTTCTTGTTCCTAGGGATTTCAATTAATGAAACTGTCGATACTATTTGCTAGCATTCTACACTATTCTCCTGGCCAACGCGGGAGTTTAGGCGTCTACTTCGAATATTTACCCCTGATGTTCAATTAGAATTTAATAATTTTCTGCAGTGTCAATTAGATGGTGTAGCCTTGAGAAGTTTACTAGGCCTTGTATGATTGATCTTGAGATAAAAAAGCTGAAGTGTTATCGTTATACTGATGGCAAATTTGTAGTATGTGATAATGAAATTCATGAGTCCTACCTAATTGGATTACCCAGTCACACACATGAAAATATCGACTTCACCATTGTGGGTTTGAAAGATACAAGTCTTCAAATATCAATTCGTCGAAAAATTACGTGCGATGGACAAAATTTAAATTTCAAGAGCGTTCTTACAATCAGCTATAAATTAGCATCGGTCAGAACTGTTTTACAGAGTCAAAAGAATGGGTTACACAGAGGTGTTAGAAGAATAATTTCTGAGTCTTGAGAAAATTTTAGAAAATAACATTCATTTTCAGAAATCCATTAACAAACTGAAATGTATGGATCTAAATGTAGAAAGGAACTCAGTTAACAAGAAGCCGAAATTCATTCTACTCAATTTTAAAGGTGATGATATCTCAGAAGTAATCAACGGAAGATTGAATACTTCACTCGCCAGAATGTTCTCTGCATCTAAGTTGGTTCTCCTTCATTGAAAGACATGCTGCTTGTTACAATCAAAGGTTGAAAGAGACGCTTCCCACGTGTATACAGATTTATTGTTTAAGTTGTAGTAGTTATATTTAGAAAACAGGAAGAAGGCCATACCATAGATTCACTGAACATGTACGAAAAGGCATGTGCCTTAAGAAGACGAATGATATCGTTGATGCATGTCATGAGGTGCACATCATGAAATCATTGAAGACAACCAACAGAAAATATAATACAATAATCCTACTCAAGTTTGCTGAACCAATTTTTCGGAAAATAATAGTTATAAGAATATCTTTGCTCTGATAACTCGTTGTCTCAACTCTTCCTTTTATTTGGTTATATGGTCTTCAATCACACAAGGATAAATTCATGAGATTTAATTAGTAGGAATGTAAATCATCTGATTGCAAGTTAATGAAGACTATTCAGCCTCCACTGCAGTGTGATTCCGTGAAAACGAATACCAAAATGCTGTATGCATTTACTACCTAGTACTTTTAATTTCCCCGACGAATTTTCAAAGTCGCCATCATTAGAAATCATAGAGATAATATAAATATTCCAATTAATTACTTTTCTAACTAGTTCTCTCCCTTCCGGACCAAGGGAATATTCAATAGTCATTTGAATGCGGAATTCATCTTACCACTAGTTCTTCAGTATACATTGCGCGACATTCATCTTCAAAATACCAATATAAACAACAGCGATGTTTGTCAAATAAAATATCCTCCTAGATAGTCAGCCTAGTGTCTTGTTTAAATCAGATTGGCTTTAAATTAATATCACCGCTAAAAATAAAACTTGTGAAGTTTCGATTTTGCAATAAATTGGTATGCTGCCTTCATTTCAAAAACAACAAATATCGTAAAATGTTTATCTGTAAGTGAATAAAGTGATTTAATTATGGACGAAAAATTCTGTTGAGATCGTCATTTAGTGAATAATCCTGTTCTGCTTTGGTATATTCAGTGATATATACAGATCAATATGCAGATAGAAAATATCTTTTATAAATGGTATCAAAAGTATACTAAAAACTGCATAATACTGTGAAGGGAAATATGTTGTGGGGACGGGTCATTCCCAAGTGCCCATAACACACGCTCTATGTGTGGAAACAAAAACCAGAATTCTCATATATATGACGCACATTGTACGAAAAGTTTCATAAATAGGCGAATAAAAGATGGTACAATTTATGAGAAATAATGAGAAGAAGTTTTCAGCAGAGCATTTCATGCATTTTCTTTTGTTGAAAGCGGGATAAAATCGTCTGGTGGACTATCTGTTGAATATTCAACTTTCTCAACTCGTCCAGTTGTTAAACGAACCATTTTGTGTCTAGGTGAAATTGCGTTTTAAAACAAAAATAACGATCAGTGAATACAAGACATTTATTAATACAACAATACTGAAAAATAGCATTTGAATGCAACTGACATTTATTTGTTTGTTTAAAATGTGTCACCATATTTATGTATTAATATGAACATACGAACAAGCGTACCATCATTTCATTCACAGTCAGTAAGATATTTTCACTAATAACAGTCACATACTGTTTAACCAATAAGCATGTCACTTATGCTGATCACATGACCAAATAAGTAGATTTGCAAACCAAAACAATCAGTGCTAAAACTACAAATATTTTATTATGTCTGAAAATAACAATGTGAAAACAGAATTCATGAATTTCGTCACTGTCAGACAGCTGACTGTTGACTGTTTGTTTGACCGACGTAACAACAACGAGACTCACACAAAACAGTAAAAGTTAAATTTGTCTCACTTCAGAAAAGTAGAGCAGAGAAATATGTTGAAACTGCAAAGAATGGAGTAAAAGATAATTAGATGAAGTTTATTGAACAGCTTCAGAATCTAGAAGATAAGAATAAGTTGTCAGTTCTGAGTCATGTCACAAGCATCGTCCATTAACAGATCCTTAGTATCAGGAAGACATCTATTCTGCAATCAACACTTCTCTAGGTGAGTCAAACTGGCAAACCATAGCTCCTTGGAATGGTGTTATATTTGACCTGAATAGTCTTAAATCTATCATAAACATCCCCAGCTCAGATAATGACGACAGCAAAGGCATCTACCTGAGCCACCAATTTCCTTCATGATTCCCTATTCTTATTTCAGTCAAAATCGCTTGGCGTGGTTTGGCATGAGTGAGATGTCTCTCAACCACCTTGATAGATAGATCTTTACAGCTTTACCTATCGAACCTTCTTCTCTACCAAACGCTGTACGCATAACTTTTTTATTACTAGCGACACAGTCCACCTAACAGGACGGACTAAATGCGAGTACTTACCTGTGCAAGTTGGTCAGTGACTTTTGTATCCTCGCTGAGATTCTACTGACAATCAGTCCATTATGGCTGCTTAAAATTTTCAATTGTCTAAGTAACTTTACCGGTGATCTAGGACCTGGCAGTATGCGAAGATCTGACTACTGCATTCACTAAGAGACAGATTTCGCAAACTCAGCTACATATGGCATAGCGATGACAACATTCTCTGCAGGTCGAAAATGAATTCAAATAAACTGAAGGGATGGCAGGCTAACTGAGCTAATGCTAAAAATGTCCTTCCCAGTGCCCAGTTAATCTGTCCTGCGGAATCTCCTACTTACTGCAGGTTTCTGAACGCATTTCCCTAGGAACTTCATAACTTCATCATCTAAATGACTAAATTTGCTCTGTTTTAATAAACCGCCTTTGTTCATTTAATGTTCTTCAGTTCATCAGCACACTTGAAATCAATCAAATCCTTGTTAAGTAATACTTGATAATTTTCGAAATGTTAGAAATAGTGAAGTACATTTTTATACATTTTTGTTTATATATGATAAGAATCTCTGACGAAAACTTACTTCGTAATTGACTTGCAGTATAAAATTCGGAGATGTTTCAGCTTCTTGCAGCCTTTTCGAAGGTGAGTAAGAGAGGTTTCTCTACAATTATACAACACAAACATTATGGCAATATGAGATTAACCATAGAAAAGGCATACAGAACATGAATATGAAAACAGCACAATAAAGAGTATGTTTTGCAGTCAAAATAACTTCATAGTGTAATTTTCAGAACATCATCACTCACTGCGAAATGCAGGTACATCCGGATGACGAGTCCCAAATAGGACGACATGAGCATCGTGGATTCCACTGCTAGCCACCATCCGTCAGACTAACCTATAAATTCTTCTAGTTGGAAAATATTTTAAAGCTGGACAAGAAAAGAGAAGCTGAACAGAAGTCTGCGATGCCGTTTCTCTTGTAACAGATAGAAGTTCGTTTATCTACTGGTAACTAGAGGTTCTAATAGCAGCTTTCTTTTATGAGGTTATTTCGGGCGATTATATGACATATCCATTTTTTGAAGTGGTGCCACCTTTATCTGCTGGGTATTGGGGGGCGTTTCAATAGGAATGCTAAAATATACCAGCATTATTTCATGAAAACTAAGTGATACACTTAACGTTTGAACTTACTACCTTCTTTATTCCATCACATTGCATAGATATCAGTATCAAGCAGGTGTTTTTTTTGTGATAAAAGCGCAGCAGACGTGGTGCAGTTGAAGCATGTAATGCCATAGATAATATTTATGCCTGAAGAAATTTCATTTTAGAAGCACATAAAAGATATAACTTGTCACTAATCCACCATGACAGCAGACCAGGATGCCACAGTTAGCGGGAATATGCAATGAAGCCATACTATTGTTCCATTATATATGTCGATAAATAAATTTTGAAACTGTCTCCTTAATAACTTTGGACGGTGTTATTGGATTTGTTTGTTCTATTCCTTTACGTTCCAAATCGAACATAGGACTTCAGGCTTTTAAGTTTCAGTAGTAGAGGTTGCGTTTTCGCGGAGTGACGTGGCTTGCCCCACGCCCAGCCTTCCCTCTTTGCCAACCTTACTGATGGTTTATTGAGGCTTAGGATTGCGTCAACCTGGAGTGTAACCTAATACCACGTTCGTGGTTAGCCATCATTCTACCGCTGAACCACCGGCGCACAGTGTTATTGGATGATGAAGATTACCTGAAAAATGTGATGTATTTTCGAACCACATTTCGACACACATTTGCTTGTCACATCAATTTACATACAAAAGGGAAACCAGTTAGGATAAACGGAGTAATAAGGGATTAATAATAAGTGAAACTGTATTTGGTAGTGTAATCAGATAAGGATTACCAAGGTAGGTTAAGAATAACAATAAATTATTTTTGTGCACACGGTAGGCGGTGTGGGAGTGGGAATGGATATCGCCTCAGCATATTTCAATAAGCACTCCTGACCGTTCTTATAAATAACCTTAAATGCAATTTTGACATCAATCTTGCTGTACAAATCAATTAGATGTTTGGGTATAGACCACATTGGTGGTCTGACACCTGATGCTATCGATTTTTCAAAGTCCGTTTGTTTTACGAATCATTTCAGAATGCGCTCTTCCACCCTCACATGGAAATCACGATTACTTTTTCCTATGTATTGAGAACACTCAAACATGTGAATTGATTGTATTATGGGACATGACATAATCACTAGTGCACTTTCAGGGCTTGTCGTATGGCGTCTTTTTGGCTCTATCAGTATTCACAAGTGGTGCTGTATAATAGGTCCTAGGGATGATCTAGTTGAGTCCCTGTCTCAAAATCCTACCATTTATTTCCCCCATCGTATGGTAATTTGATGAAAACATCTTTCTTAGAGACAGAATATATTGTGGGTTTTGAAACTAACTGACTTCTTCACTGGTTTAAAATGTTCAGGGAATATGAGTTATCGACAAGAGTATGCGTCAACATTCTGTTTTCTTCATCTTGCATATAATCTGTATGAATAGGCTGAATCCTTTCAAATAAGCACTTTATCAAGTCTCTCTCATATTGTAATTGATAGAAACTGTGAAAAAGTTAAAATAAGGGTTGTGCAATCAACTCCCTATTGATGATAATTAAATGAATGGCCATTCAAACATTGTATCAGAACGAAAATATCAACTAAGATTTCAAAATCTAATTCAGTGGTCATCAGATCAGCACAGATGTGTTAGTAAAATGAGTCGAATGAATGAATTTGGTAGATGGTGACAAGCAGTGGAATCCAGGATGCATATTCCGTCCTATTTTGAACTCGTCATCTGAATGTACCTCATTTTCAGTAAGTGATGGCGTTCCCACTGCGGGCGTGAACCCAGTATCGATCATTCTGAACTCCCAAATCACACTTCAATCCAGTCAGTCAACGGGAAGATCCAAAGTGAATTAAATAAATGAATGGATTGTTAGATAATTAAGATGAAAATACTGTTTAATATTCCATGACAGTGGTTCTGACTCATCCGATTGTAAATAGTAATTATTAGCTCACTTAGCAGGTTTCGAGTTAATTGAACTTGAACAGGATGACTTTCATTGTACAGAAACAACAACGCTAACATAATTTAACAGTTCAGTAAATTCGAACAAATTAAGTATCTTCTGTTGTTTTTATGGCACCAAAAAGGAATGTCGATTCTGCAGATTGTTATATCAGAATCATTTTTTCTCGTGAATTTTTACTTTATAAAGTGCTTGAACTAATGTAAAGTGCAGGACTAAGATGATGAAGTCTTTGACAGTGATAAAACTACGCGAATAGATCTTTGAATATATAGAAACACATTTAAAGTATTCGAGTTCATAGTTAAAATGAATATTGTAGGAAATGACTGAAAGCAAACGAGAAATATCTGAACAAGATCTCAAAAGATGCTCATCATAATTTTTAAAATAGTAAGATATATGATTAAATTGAAACTTAGCAACCTTCATGATTAACCAAAGTTTACGAGGGGAAGTAAATCCAACTGACAAGTGTCTTTTTACTCAGAGATGACTTAAAGTGGGTATTGCTACTAGTTATGACTATGTAATTCTCCCTAGATTTTACGATGTTAATCAGTGAAGAACGCGTAATAAAATCTAAATCAACGTCAGTTTAAACCTGATCAAACAAAATACAATGTATGCACACTGTGAACAAAAAACCAGCCAGGTGTAATATTCGCCTTTTCAGTACAATACAATCAATAACAGAAACTCACGTGATCAGTTCACATCCACAAAGATCAAGAAATCTCAAATAGTGACATACTCCTGATACATATTGTATTGCAATATCTGTTAACTATGTAAGGGAAACAAGGTGGCACAAATTTACTGAAGCAAATATCATCAATATACCTGAATGCATCCAGCCAAGCTGAGACTGACAAGATATCGACAACAAAAGGCCAATGTCTTAATTCCATTATTTGTCAGATTCTAGAATTTTTTTAAATAAGTGATGGTTGTTAGGAAGAAGAATATAATAAATTCAAATTACATGACAAAATGATAAGTCAATGTATTCCAAATTGATTCCAAGATGGGCAAATTTTTGTAATCCTAAATCTGTGATCGCAGTACACTTGGAAACTTTGAGTTCACGTAGTTTTGGTAACGAACCAAGTGCAGATAACCCCTAAAAGGAATTTAAAGAAACAAACAGATCAAAGTAAAATTAGAAGACAAGAAGTAAGTCCGAGCAAAGAATATTCTCTTCGATAAATTTTTCGTCCCACTGTACAAATATATATATATGATGTTCTAGAATAACTGTTAGTAACAATGTTGACGTGCTTTTTCAAATAAGTTAGATGGAATTACAGTTCAGGAAAGATGCTTAGGCTATAATAAGCATAAGAATGTTACACTAAAATTTTTGCAGCAATTAAGGATAGAGAAAACATTGATGGCCAAGTTAAGGAGAGCGTCTGTGAACGAACTTCTTGCGAGCACATGAGTTAGGCTTACTCAGGTGAACTCTGATGCCTTCAGAAAAGTGTAACAGACGAAATTTTAAAGTAAAATCAAGATTAGTCAGAATACAGTAAGTAACTTTAAAAGCCTTATAAGCATCAATTTCGTGTTTTATTTGTCTATAAGATGAGCTATAATAGGGCTGGGAATGGACCTCGTTTGTTCCCTGCATAACTACGTGGGATGATGTTTGAAAATCCAATGATAAACATGCCTAATTGTATTTCTTATGTAACTAGCGCCATAGGAGCGATCAAGCTAAAAAATACACATGGGAGATGCGAAATTGAATAGTTCATCTTCAACTGCCGGACTTAAAATAGGATTAATTTGAAGACACAGTGAACCTCAGCAACACTGAGTGCTACTTTTGCCGCATTCTTTAGGCGTTGTATTATTATTTCACTGGTGTTATCACCGATTAACTAAAGGTTTAAGAACAAGATCTTACTCGGAACTGTTGATACTCTCTAGGTTACGTTAGCTTCAGATTCATATTATTATTGTCAATGAATTTCTCTCGGTAACCATTTACACTCAGCAACTGTTTCATAATGTTGAGCTCTTCATTAAGGCATTCATTTACTCCTAATTTTAATGAAATGTGTTAAATAACACTACAGAGCAAAACAATTCATCAGATTTTGTTAAAATCAACTATACTGTCTCAAGTTTAACAAGAATTTTCCAAACTCAGAGAGTAATTATTATTGCTACGAAAGTCTAAGAAACAAACGGATACACAGTATGTGTGAAAACGTAAAGTTATGAGAGGCAAATGAAGTCTCTAATATTCAGGATGAACATTCGTCATTCTGTGACCGTTCGGTAACCATATAACTCACTATTCGTGATCAGTAGTTACTACAAAATGCATGTCAGTACTTATGGAAATGAAATAACTGTTTTAGCAAAAACTCACTCGATCACCAATCTTGGTGGAATTTAAATTTATTTGCCATAGTTGTTGAAATTGACACAGTAATTCAAAAGCTGCATCAGTGATTAATGGACATGACGCCAAACTCAGGTAGGCTAAATTAGGCAGGCTGAAAATAGTTAGAGAGGAGGAACAACTGTTTGATTACATCGCATGGTGACAGTGTATCTTGATATATGTATAAAACTTGGGCACTGTGGTAGTAAGTAATTCCTTATTATCAAGTGTTGGTTTGTAGGGATTTGATTGGTTACAGGATTTCATCATGAGCTGACATCAGTTAGAGAACCATTGGAAAACCTGGGAGTACTGGACAGCTGTTTCGTCCTAGTTTGGGACTCTTCAGCAGTACGCACCCACCGGGATTCGAACCCAGGACCTTCTGGTTACAAGGCGAGCTCGTATACCATTAAGCCACTGGGACCCGATCCAATGGTCCATGAATTCTAACTTCTGCCAATTCACGACATAGCGCGACCCCTAGCCAATGTCTTCGGCGAGTATTTGTCCTCACGCCCGACCTGCTGCACCCTACTGGTCACGACTTCTCACTAGAACCCCAGGTGACTACCCACCTGAATAGGGCAATGGTTCTCTAACTGATGTCAGCTCATGATGAAATCCTGTAATTCCTTATTACTTTGTTTATTAGATGTATCACACTGTGAAACAGTATTATTTACTGGATGACGTTTCGAACAAAATTTATTGCTCATAATCATATCAACTGTAATCACACGACTTCGAAACTTGAGTTTTATAGTTTTCTTTCTCTTCTCCTATTTGTCGTAGAAGTAGTAGAATTTTCCAGATATCTGGAAAATTCTACTTTATCTTGATGTCTAACAGAAGGATTATTATTATTTACTGTGACCAATTAAAAAACACTACAAATAATTCTTGCTATTACCCGCAGTTTAATACATTAGGAGTAAGAATATTCACTGTCACATAATTCCACAATTCACACTGGAATGTTTCATAAAACTGCATTCTGAAGTGTGATAATGAGAACTCAAAGGGTATCTGTTGTCTATTGGACTACCAATATCTAAATATTTTGTTTATTTTTTAGCTGGAGTGAAATGTTACAAATGCTATCCACTGACACATGTTATCCAAAAACAGCAACTCTACACTTCACAAGTAAATAGTGAAAGTATATAGTGACAGCGTTTAACGATAAATAATGTCACTTCTTAATCCATCTGATAACATTCTGAGCATATAACATCTCGAAAAAGCTTGAAACCATAATCTCACTGAAAATTAAACTACGTGGATGACACATTAATGACAGTGAGAATAAATGAATTGAATAACACTCACAGCCTAATCAACAGCATCTTCAACGACATCAAATTCATAAGAGAAGAGGAATACGAGGATAAAATTACCTTTTTAGATGTCTTAGTTGAACGAACAACTACAACTACATAATTACAACAACAACAACAACACAATAACCAGCAAACATTACTCAAAAGGGCCAGCACTCATCATGTGGTGAGAGCTGGCTGCTAGCCAAACTGGTAGACATTAATTTACGTCAATGTTTATGTCCCAAATATTGGTCGTGAGCAAAATAAGAACAAAGACTTTGACTAGGCGGATAGAGTTATCATATAGATGATCTGACATTCAAGAAACAGCCACAAAGAGATGAAAGATAAACTTTCAGTGAGAAACAACCAATCAGAAGACTATGTTTTTCTGCTAACAATAATCTATAATAATGTACAAGAAAATATATAAATATGTGTTGATTTCCTTAATAAACGATCTGCTGCCTGGCCCTTGTCTTTTATAGTTGCAATTGCAGCACTCCTTCCTGCCTTCAGGTTCATGGAAGGAAAATATCTTATCAGCCTTACACTGCTTGTAATCTCAACTCAGCCTACTATATCATGAATATCCATGAAAGCACAAGGAATATTTTACTTCTATATCTGAAGAACATCTTCAAAACTGCTGCAAGATTGTTCATACCTTCTGGAATCCACGTTGACCACAAACCAACTATATCACTTTAGTCGGCTCCAAGTCAACCAAAATACATAACAGCGAATGAAGGTAAAACCAATATCACCAACAAGATAAATTGCGACGTCTTTTAAAAACATTATAGAGGTCAAATTAGACACCATTTACGTCTTCGCATCCAAGAACATAAAGTGGCCATCAAATAGCATACTATTCATTCCGTCATATCAGTGCATCCAGCCAACCGCCTACACCACAATTCTTCACTGCATGGGATTACAAGTATAGGTAAGTAAGTACAAGTAATCAGAAAGTCGTTAATACATTTATCAAATATTACAATTTAAACGTAATACTAGTAAACAGAACTGTTGTTCTTTCTGTAGAGGTGAATACATCTGACATTATAATAAAGATATAAACTCCAGTTCAGCTTACCGTCCACTCATTGAATGAATAGCCTTATCAGTTAGCTTAATACAACGTGTTAAATACAATTCGCGTAAACAACTTGCATATTCTCCATCAGCTAGCAATTTTATGCCATAATCTGTGAGATTTTCACAACCGGTTAGATTTAAAATTGTTAAATGCTTCAGAAGTACTAAATACTGAAGTAGGAAATCAGACATCTACAGAAGGAGAAAAAGAGTAAAATCATGTGACATGTAGTGAATTTATGTTGTGCAGAATGATCGTAAGACATTCATTAATTTGAAATGTACTTGAAGCAGTTGGTATAACTGGCGCTAGAGATGTTTCCGTACAAGTGGTGCATTGTCAAATTTTAAATCAATAAAACTGGAATTGAGTGAGAATTGCTAAACAACTCAGAAATGCGAAATACAGTGTAAGATTAATTAATGGAGTCATTTTACTTGAGAGATATCTGAAAAACTGAGTGCATTAAATGTACGATATTTAACTTCTGGAAGAACTCAGCATGTCTACCACTAATACGTGTGTATAATGGTGAGTTCTCGCGTCTCAGGACAAATTTACTCGCTAGTTACCTCATTGCTTTTAGTGGATTTGATAATTTTTTTTCCTTTACGTTCCCCAGTGGAACATAGGGCTTCAAGCTAGTGGCTTGAAGATTCTGCAGCAGTGTTTATTTTACAGGATGGGGTTGCAAGCCTCATGCCCAACCTTTCCTCTTCACCAGCATTATTTCTGGCTCAGCGAGGTAAAGGAGTGCGTTGGCGGCCGGGGATCATACCCCGGACCATGTGCATGGTCGGCGAGCGTCCTAACCGCTATACCACCGACGCCAATAAACTACTAAATAATTCACTGTAATATTGGGCAGTCGAGACTCACTTAATTCTAGTCAAAATACACATAGTTTTCTTGTTATTGGATGGTTAGAGACAAACGGGAGGAATCCCTCGCCCAAGGTTTCGTGCTTGTTGTCACCCATCAGTCAACAAGGCGTTTCTGCAATCCTGAAGAAACTCATGTCCTCTCTGAGATCCTAATCCGAGTCATACAGTGACACAGTCACAGACTTTAACACTGAGCTATTCGGCCTCTCGTTTGGAAACTATGTAGTTAGTGACTGATGTCGTGCGTCCAGTCCTCGGTTTGGTGCAGACTGAATTTTATCCGTTTAGTTTGCAATGTGATCACCATGCCAGGTGGGTTACCATCACTGCTGATTCCCTCCGACAATCTAATGACAAGAATTCACAATGCATGGTGATGACGATCCTCGCGGAATGGTGGCCACATTGCAAACCGGATTGACAGAATTCAGTCTGAACTAAACAAAGGACTAGACGCATGACACCAGTTACTACTCACTATCCAATCAAAGTCCACATAATTTTCATCAGAACATATAAGTGTTCCGTTTTGTGCTTCATTATTGCCAATAACGATGGCCAATCTTAAAGATTGTTGTTACTGCATTATCGAAACACTCAGATACGAAATATTTAACATTGGAAAATTGATATTTTATGTCACCTACTTTTGGACAGTCTATCACAGATAGTCTCTGTAAGTTAGCACTTCCATTTTCAAACAGTTTGGAGCTGCGGCTGGATGTACGATTACTTTTACAGCTAGAGTGTCGTCTTGATGAAATATCACTCGACCCAAGGGCATGAAGTCCGGATCCATCGCATAGATTCTGATTAGAAATCATGAATCGCTTCAAATTTTTACTACATATTGATTCTAAACCTTGATCTGTTATAAGTCCTCCAGAGTAAATTGTTGAATTTCTCTGAGGTATTTCATAAGATTTTGAGATTAATCCTGTGCATGTAATTGGTCGACTTTGTTTGGTTTTCGATGTTGCGATCGCACTGACAGGAGCTGATTTTTCAGGATGATTATACAATTTCGGCGCAAGTTTTGCATCTGATATGATTACATTTTGATTGTTAACCATTTCTATAGTTTGTATTGTTGGACAGTTGGATCCTAAAACCTGAAAAATTGAAGAAAGTGGAATGAATACCGTATCAAAAAGTTTCTTTTTGACTTCCATCCTTCAACGGAGGATATCTAATCAGTTTGCTTGATAGAAGCAAGGTTATTAACTTACGTCTACTTCACATTTGGTTACAGCTACCTAGATATGGCTCTTTTCTTCTCAAGTTAAGTATATAACGCCGATAATTACATAACAGCTAAGTATAATCTCAATAATTCAAATGAACTGTCGTCAAGATTTAACCGAATAGTTCTAAAATATTTGGGCGCCGAGTGAGAAGTAGACATTTGTAAAAAATTATATTTGTAAAATCTCAGCGAAATTGAAATGATTAATTCCAACGTTTCATTCGGCAATCTGGTCCGAACTTCTTCAGGGAAATTCATCGAAATTAACATAACGGAGGTTTATATATAAAAGGAAGATCACTTGTTTTTAAAAACTTTCTCCAATCATGAGTCATTCAACAAGTATAATAAACAAAATTTTATGAACTGTGATCAAAATTTGACCTCAAACTTTCAAAATTAGTCTACTTTTGTTAAACAATTTAAACACAGTGTACTTTTCATCAGATTACGTTAAACTAAAATTTCATGGTCGTAGATAACTGAATATGAAAATGTATTTGTATACGCAGTATACAATGGTGTGTATGTGTGTGGGGGTGAGCAATCATAAAACATTTGTTAGCCTCTCCAGAAGAAGATATAGACAATCGGGAATTTTTGACCAAGTATGGTTAATTATCGATACATATCCATTTTTATTTATTAATCAGGATTTGCCATGCATCAGCTAACATCACACCTTCGCGTCTGTTCAAACTGTTGGGGTTCACTCATATATGTAGGGCTTCCGCAGTCAGTCTTTCTTTAGACAAACCAAAACCTTTCTGTAGAACCTTAGTCCAATCAAAGTCGACTCTGTTATGTTAATTTCGATGAATTTCCCTGGAGAAGTTCAGACCAGATTGCTGAACGAGATGTTGGGATTAATCATTTCAATTTCGCTGAGGTTTTACAAATATAATTTTGTACAATCTCAAAAGTTCTAATAAAACAAATTGGTAAACTTTGGTACTACAAAATAATTTGAATGAATTTTGCATCTCATGAAAAATGCATACATAAACGTAAGGGATCGTTTAGAAAACTACCTCGAATTTTGAAATCACCGTAAATGCCTCAAATTTTAAGGGAATAGTTATCTCGAGTTCAATACATAACCTTGTTCAAATCTTCAAAATGTGACAAAAGCCCCAAGAATTAATTGACTGAGGAATGATCATTTCAAGTTCATTCTCCAGACATCATACAGTATTCTGTCATCGGTGAACTCTATACTGCTATTCACAGTTTACTCAATTTGTAAGTGGAACCACAAAATAAGCTGCTAAGAATTTTACTCTTATTGTAGGGCCAGAATAATTTGAATCAGATGGTTGGAGTAGGTCACTGAGAAGCCCTGCTCCAAAACTCATCTGTGAAATGTATCCACAAACCTGAACAAATTTATGTTTTATTCTGTAATTAGCCTGTCTAAACGAGCGATTTCACACATCATAGAGGTCAATAATTCTGGATAAAATTCTGTCTGACTCAGCAGTCTCTTAGAAAATCGCCAGTATTTAAATGGTATTACCACATTTCATTAATACTAGTTACACGACTATCGAGTATGGTCATGTTTGGGTGATTTATTGGTGGAATCGTCATCAGCCATACAAATAGTTGGGGCTCGATTTCTAGTCAATGCACTCCTATGCCTCACTAAGCCTGGAGTCAGATCGGAAAAGAGAGAAGGCTTAACGTAAGGCCAATGAATCCGCTCCGTGAGAAAACAACGCCGCTGATACTTAAAATTCAAAGTTAAAGCTTGAGGTCTTGAGTTCCACTCGGAAAGCGAAGGAGTTATATATATATATATATGCATAATGTGATTAGGAGACATAGGGCTGATGTATTGTGGTAGTTTAATTAGTTGTCTACAGAAATTTTTATTAAAATGTTACTTCTTTTGTGAACAAATTCAAAGGAACATTAATTGCGGGCATGAAACCAGTCTCACACTAAACACGAATCCCATATAAATAGAATTATTCACCGACAGTATTATTTATCCTTCAGGTAATAATACAAGAGACCGCATATCACTGCAAGATCTATGTGTATATATATGTATATATATATATATAAATAAATATATATGAAATGTATTTCGGTTTATATTAAATAAGCATCCAAGTATTTTTCAGATGTACTTACAATAAGATCACTATCTGAAATCCATGGGATATCATTCAATAGCCAATTCTCCACATGTTTCACACTTTTTATGATTGTCTGCAAACCCGATGAACCAATCTGACAACATTATGTATTGGAAGAGAACAAATGAATATAAAAACAATTAAAATACTTGTTTCATATATTATTGTTAAGATATTCATTAAAAAATACTCCATTAAAAATATACTCTGTAAGGTAATTCTCATATAGTTTTATAAAGTACAAATCATGACGAATATCACGTAATTAGGAACTTGAACATTTGTCACTGATTTGAACAGTGGTCACTTATATGCCTATTTTATTTCACTCTGACTTTTAACTTCTTACATTTCTCCCATGCATTCATAACTTATAAATCATCACGACTAATATTTAATTCATAATCAAAATAATAATAGCAAAACAAGCAAATTTGTTATCATGTATACTAGTTCATGTAAGAAGGCATTTGTGCATTTATTTAAAGGAAATTGCTGAAATGAGAATTTTAATCCCATCTGTCGTCAAAACTATCTATTCATTTTAGACTCCAACCATTCATGCACGACCGAGCTTTCGTTATCTGTTAACAAAGGAACACAGAGAACAACTAAGACAACTTCAAGAAAATAAAGACATAATCTTCATCTGTCTTCATAAGGGCGATGGGATTGTGGTAGTGAACGGATCCGACTATATCGAAGAATCAGGAAACATACTATCAGACAACAACAAATTCTTCGAACCACCCACTTTGAAAGACTCATCGGAAGGAACAGAAACCCTCCTTAAACAATTTCTGAAGAAAATAGAAGAAGATTTAGTCATTTCGTTGGAGGTATGTGAACGAATAAAGCCATACAGTTTAATTATTCCAAGACTATATGGATTACCTAAAGTGAATAAGAAGGATGTTCCACTTCGACCCATCATAGACTTGGTCAACTCACCATGTCCTCAGATCGCGAAGTAGAAGAAGAAGACAAATAACAAAGTATAGTCTTAGCGAAACATTCGACTTCATCGATTCAGTGAAAGACAAACGGTTTCATTAGATGTCACTTCTTTATTCACAAGAATCCCCTTGACCGAGAAAATACGCTTTATCTGAGACTAAATCGAATCCAACCACCTAGACGTTCCTCTTCCCATCAACTACCTGAAGGAACTACCTCTCAGCTCTACGTTTAATACCCAATTCAAATTCGATGAACAATTCTGTATAGAGAAATATGGTGTAGCTATGGGGTCTCATCTTGGTCCACTCTTCGCTGACTACTTCATGGAGAGTTTGAAAAACAACATCCTCGATCCTTTAATCAGTAAGCTGCACTTTTATTTTTGATTATGTCAAAGACGGTTAAGCAAATGCATACAAGTCTTTTCAATAATGCCTTCATCTCTGACAATGCATCATTGTAAAGGCTTTAGAGTTCCTTATTTTTCTAATACACGGATGGAACTATCAAATATTTATCACTATGAACCAGGTCACTGGTGGATAAATTACATAATGATATGGAGGTAAATCAAGCGTGATTATTTGTGCACAATGATTAATTACGTAGGATTATTTGAAGCTAATTTTCATCTCCCGTTGATCGATTACTTTGGACCGAAATGCTCGATCTCTGTTGATATGTCAGCTGTTAGTGTGGACACTTCCATGATACTTTAAGATTAACACCATTTTATTTCAGTTGATTATGTGTAGCAGTGGAAGTGAGAATATTCATTTCCGTGCAACCTAATAGATCAGCGGGAAGTGCAAATAAATTTAAAATAACAATAACAGTGATAATGCGCAAGACGAAGTTCCCATGAACCAGTGGCCTAGTGTATAACACTTTGATATTTAAAGGAATCGGTTCAGAGTTCGAGTCGCAATAGTTACCAAATCACTCACTGGAGATGCAAATACACTCAACTGATGAATCTCAAACAAGATGAAATGCGTCTCCTGGATTCCGCTGTAGTCACCATCAGCCGAAATAATATGAAGTAAGATTATCTTGTTGTGCGTCGGTGGCACAGTGGTAGAATTCTCGTCAATCGCGCATGTGGTTCGAGGTTCGACCCCTACAGACGCACTCCTTTACCTCGCTAAGCCAGTAATAAAACTGTTAAAGAGGGAAGGTTGGGCATGAGACTAGCAACCCGAATCCCGTAAAAATCAACACCAATGCTACCTAAACTTCAAGCCTCTAGCTTTAAGCCCTATGTTCCAATGGGAACGTAAAGGAATATGTATATATATATATATATATAACATTATTATGAATCTTAACCCGACACTTAAAACTTATAATCACCGTTAATTTCTATGACATTCTTATGTTAATTTCAAAAACAGAATCTTATTTTTTAACTTATTCGGCTTTGCTTCTTTCTTTCTAAATGGAGAAATGGCAGCATTCAGTCTACTGAACTCAATATAAGTTTGATGTTTATAAGGAAAAACGCAAACAAAACACTTTACTTACTGGAACACAACCAGATAAATCCAAATATTTCAATGACTTGAAACATTCCAATTGATTAAAATAAGTAGAGCAGACTTCTGTCAATCGTGTACAATACGCCAAACTCAGATACTGTAACATCTTTGTATTTCTTGTGAATACAAAATAGCATTAAAGTTTACTCAGTTAAGTAATATAGAAGTGTTTTATGTAGTACAATTTTAACTTATGTAATCTTCATGAATTCAATTGTTTGTTTTATCTTCGAATAGAAAGGTATTAGCTGATAGATGGTCAAATATATTGTCTGCATTAGTCCTTTAGTAAACAGATTTTTAATGATTGCATACAAATAATGTGTACAGCACAATTTACCTGGATATTAATTCAGCTATTGAAGGCGAACAGTGACAAGCAGAACTGTAGAGTTTATGTGTAGCGAAGTGTCTTTCTCACATTACTCACAGCATTCTATTAATCATCTTTACAAATATCTCGTCGTTACATCACACTAGCAAAGTCCTAAAATGGACAATGCAGTCAGGAGGGATAAAATTACTTGAAAAACCCACTTATGTGACCTTTTACACTGCATTAAGTAACCTAGTATCAATTACTAGCATTTTATTTGATACTTCAAAACTTATTTCAAATAGTTACACACTGACCAAACATTAAATCTCCAGCTTTTAATATGCATTAACGTTATTTTGAATTCATCCTTTAAATGTGAATAAGTGTTACATTTTGGTATCATTCAAAAACACCTACATCAAAAATATTTTTGAATCACTTACGTAGCTAAATGACGAACAGCATCATCAGTTACTTCTGTATACGATAGGTTTAAGTAGAGAAGTAGACTACATTCTTTAGAGATCAAACGGACTGCATCATTCTGAAAGATAAATCAAATATACTACCTTAAATAATATAAGTAGTTAAAAATTCTGTACAAAAATGTCTAAATATATGGTTATTTCATTTACTGAAAGTTAACAGCACAATACATATTCGGTGAATTATATCACACTTGAACGAAAGAAAGATGTTTCTCTAGGTTCATTTCAGAAATATCTATCATCAAGGCATGATAGAAGCATTTTATTTCTAAATATCTATAGTATTACGAGGAAATATTAAGAGACTGGAGACAATAATTAATTATAAATATTTTTCTGTCTGCTTTGCGTTCAGAGCAGGACACAATGCTACAAGTTCAGCTTTGAAGATTCAGTGGAATCGGCTTTTTTCAGGGAGTAGGACTGCTGTCCTCAAGCCCAGTCTACCCTCTTTACTGGTCTTACTATCAGTTAAGTGAGGCTTAAAAGTGAGTCGGTCAGGATTCGAACCATGGACCAAGTACCTGGTTGAAGAAAATTTTATACTACCGGACAGCTAATGTACACGCGAAAAACATTAAAAAACTAAAAATGTTACTGTTACTGTTTTTTTACAATACATCACATATGTTCAAACAAAGTGTTTTGATTTAAGGAATAGCAAATGCATTACTGATATTTTGATAGATTTAAGGACGTTCCATGCATGGTACCAGACTATTCACTCATTATTCTAAGGAATCACAAAACTTCGAACTTATGACTGTTGTGCATTTATTTATTCCAGCAGAATAGTCTCCAAAAGGAAGATCTACATCTAGTATCGGCTAAAAGAGAGATTATATGAAAAGTATCCTGTAATCTATACTCAAACAGTCATTATAAAGGTAATTGTTTAAGATTGCTTTGAATAAATCAAATTTGAAGGAATACGCCCAAAAATCTTGTGCATTCTTACACACTAGGCATTATTTTCTGTCTGAGTTTGGGTTATCAGTGAAGATCACCATATTATTATTAACAAAGATCAAACTAAAGTGAACATTTTTCCAAATAAATTTCAAAGAATTCAACGAATAAAATTCTGTTTCCGACGATTTCATTTCCGCGGCTGTACAACTACATACACATTAATAACAGTAAACAGCGACAATCAGTTTTCTTGTTTGCGTGTGTGTCAAAGTTTTACAGTAAGTAGAAATACTAAAGTGCGATGATAATGGCGTATTGGATTATGAGTCACAACTGATTAAGTATATGAATGAAATAAAAGTGACTTGCTACTGGACGGAGTTTCCTTTAGTTCTACTGAGAAGTCGTGACCAGTGAGGTCTATCCAGTCAAGTGTGACCATGGAGTTCCCGCCGATGGCATTGGTTGGCAGTTGCGCTAAATCTAGAATTGGTAGAAGTTAGAATTCATGGACCATTGAATCGGGTCCTAGTAGCTGAATGGTCTACGAGCTTGCCTTGTAACCGAAGGACCTGAATTCAAACCCCAGTGGTTACGTACTGCCAATGAGTCTCAAATTAGGAAGAAACAGCTGTCCAGTACTCCCTGGTTTTCAGTGGTTCTCAAACTGATATCAATCCGTGGTTAAACTCGGAAAACAAATCTAATCCTTATAAATCAACTCTTGAAAATAGAGGTCAACCTAAAGTTCAACAGACAAGTGTGAAATAGATGTGACAGGAAAATAAAGTACATTCGGAAATGTGCATATAATATGATGGAAACATCCGATGAGTGAAATGTTGTTAGGGTAGTAGACTAGATAAAATGTTAGAATATAATAATATAATAACAATATAAAACAAAAATGGAATATGGAATAAAGAAAGATAAAAAAGTTGTAATGTGAATTACGTAGTAAAATCAAGACCATGGTAACGAAAGAGGTCGTACAAACTGTTTTTGTACACAAAGTTCTAGCTTTATGTTATGTATTGCTAAAGTCTCTGATACACAAAGCAAATGCGTTCGCGTCCCTTTCGGCAAACTTTGTTGAACTTTTCAGACTATATTAAACGATGGGTCAGATGCGGCGTGGTCATTATCTACGAGACGTTGCGATATCGATGAATTTATACCTCTACGTTACCCTTCGCTCAGCCAAACTGAGAGGTGCTCTCGAAAGCTTCGGGGTATGTTTCTGGACGAATGTCCTATGTGAACATATAAATACACATGGAATTAGACAGTCAAGGTAACATTTCCTTGACATTAAGGTGCACTAGTGGATAGCTAGATTAGGTTATCCGTAATGCGGCAGCAAACAACGTTTTTCTCACTGATCTCATCAGACGATTTTTAAGTACCTCACTCTCAGCGTCACCCGTAAATTCTAAGTTTAGGTGCAACACTGTTTTAGCTACCTTATTACTCTCTGTATTTCTTCCACATAATTTGCTATAGGCCCCTGAAAAGCATAGTGGATACCTGTTCTCTATAAAGGTTTCTTTTAGTTGTTTGAGCTCATCATCAACACTATCTCCACTATTGTCTATTGTAATTCACTTGTATATACGATCATATCCCGGTGGGTGCGTATTGTGAAGAGTCCCAAACTAGGCTGACAAAACAGCTGTCCAGTACTCCCAGGTTTTCCAATGGTTCTCTAACTGATGTCAGCTCATGATGAAACCCTCCAAAACCAATACTTGAAATCGTCGAAAGGAGAAATTTTTTTATATCTCATTGGGGATTATTAATTTAAATAAATTTCATATAATAAGGGAAAAAAATTTACGGTTACAATAAACTTACTTACTGTAATCCCAGTGCATTTAGTTAGATTGATATCTTGTAAATTAGCACAGCTAACCAATCCACGAAATGAATTCATAGATGGTAAGTGTGTACCGCGTAAATTTATGTGTCGTAAATATGCCCGACGCTTTCGTGTTAGTTTAATCAAAATTTCATCTGGTAGTCTAGTTAGTAAATAAAATAAAACACCAAAATGCAACAGACAAGTACTAAGACATGCTGAAAGACAAAGTTATGTACTCCTGTTCTACTTTGCTCCATTTACTTTAATGGTTAAATTATGGAGTTTGTGAGGATTTCGATTAATTGTAACTGCTAAATTTTTTCATGACCCAGCATTAATCATCTCTCTAACTTACGTTGGTCAGTTCATGGTCAGAGTGGTAAGATAACTACAGATTCTGGAACTCGTATATTAAAGCGGCAGTATAGATCCCTTTAACGTTCCCCATTTACCTCATTGTTGTCTTCAAGTGAGTTATCTTTAACAATTCAACATCATACTAGAGCTAAAAATTGGTCAAAAAGCTGATGACCAACATTCGAGGATACAAAATAAATTAAGCAGACAAAATGCAGAGTAATAGACGGAATTGCGTTAAACATTTGTACACTAAAGCTTTAATTTGTATAGCATCAAATCAGCACACATTACTCATATAAATCTAAAAACCACTACACGATATTATATACTTTATCCACTTTAACGCCTCAAATTACATTTCAGATAAAAAGTTAAAGTTTAAAAACAAACTTTTCGAACAGTCTTATATCTGTATATATGAGCATGTTGGGCTATATACCCGTTTCATATTACTTTTACTAGACTAACCTTTCACGGAAACATGATAGATCTAGTCGATTTCTTCTATCCATATCATTCACCATAGACATCCAGTAACGAGAAACACAAGCAGCTCGAGCCAAATCTATGGGCGTCAAATATTCGAAAATCTAATTGTAAGAATTGAAAATTACAAACAGAAAAACACAAAAAGGTATTCTGGATTACCGTTTTGTTGTGTTCTATTAAAAGACTAAGAAATTTCATCGACAAAAAAGCATAAATCACCTGTATTTTTTATCAAAGTGCAAAATAACAATTTAACTCATAGCCTATAGGTCAAACTTAAAATGGATGTTTACTTTGTAAAGGGAACAGACTATCAGGTAGCCGAAAAACTATTTTTTGCTGATGTTACTCTGCAATGAAGCTGCTCACCAACTATATTAACTTTGAAGAGATGTCCAACTACACTTGAAATAATTCCATGCTTTTGCACCAATTACGCTTTCCATAATTTTATTCATAGATGTGAACACAAATCATTATTATTAGTCGAAAACTCTTCTTCAGATTTGCAAGAATTCCTTCCAACTAGATATGTCTTCTTAGCAAACCATTTGACAGAGTTGCTTTTTTCTATATTATGTGCTCAAAAGCGGGAATTTGGTTATGTTATTTGATTTAATATAGTATTAGTGAAGCTGGGTTTTCCGAGAGGGAATGTATAGTTAGTTATAAAGCTTTGAGTATCTTACTAGACAACCTCCTCAGCTGATACTTCAGTTTGAAGTGAACTCTCAGAACTTCTTACGAGCTTGTCAGCAGTTTCTCCTGGTAACCTAGAATGTAGCTCGTTGTTTCCAGATATTTTTTCTCTCTCTAGTCCATTTGTATTGGTGCTGAATATTTTGTTGACATGGAAGTTGACCTTTAGTTCATGTGACTCTCGTTTTAGTAGTTGATAAATCTTATCTATGTCAATGTCTCTCCGTTTATTGGATATTCGTCTGGGTTACAGGCTTCTAGAAATTTCCTGGCATTTTTAACATTTTCTTGGCCTAGTATATGTATATTTTCCCAATCAAACTTATACCCATGGTTGTGTGCCTGCATTGATATGCATCATATTTTTAACAATCGCTGCAGGTAATATTGGATTCGTCTTCATTTAGTGTTGTGTCTTTTGGTTGATATAGAGCCCACTGGAGTGATTTTGTTGGTTTTTGGACGACAATAATTCCAAAAGGTATGAACAGTCTCTCAGCAGTTTTGAAGGTGTTCTTCACATATGCAAGTAGAATGTTCTTTGTCCTTTCATTAGATACTATTGATATGGTTGGGTGAGTTGAGATTATATGTCTAATGACGAAGTTTCATGGATATCCATTTTTCTAGAAGACGGTGATAAGATATTTTTCTCCCAATAATCTTAAGGCAGGAAGGAGTGCCGCAATGACTGCTGGCCCTTTCGGGTAATGTTTGCATGTGTTGCCCTCCGTTTGCTGTTGATTTGTTGTTGTTGTAACCGAGTAAGTGATTTGTGTCGGTTAATTTTCTGTATACCTGATTTTCTAATTCTCCTGTGATTGTTCGCTTGACTAAGAAAATTAAATGATGTATTTCATCTTGTTATTGATGCTTGTTCTGTCTTCTTTCCCTGTCGCGTCATTTGGTAACATAAAACATACTGAAATGACTTTGTTCGCTTGTTTAACGTGACGTACTCATGAATAAGGTTTTTAATGTCGAGTTTACTATAAAGCTATAATTTATTTTAAATGATGGAGTCTTGTATTAGTTTAACATTCAATTAAATAAGCTGTGTTCACAGTATTTTGGTGTAGGAAGGTAAGTGATTTTGGTAACTCAGCGTTCCAAGCCAGATTATTCGTATAACGGAGGAAATAAGCCGTTGTTTAACTAACAGATCAACATGCATCCCTACTGAGAACTGCGTTGGTTCAATTCGCCGAATATCGTAACAGTATGAAACGAAAAAGAGAACGAAAACAGAATCCAAATGTAACGAAAAAGTACAGTTATTAGAGCGGGAATAACTTGATGGAGGTAACTGAAAAACTTAGGTACGGAATCATGTTAAGAAGAGAACACATCTTATTTAAATATTCAACGGTCTATGCATTTAAGGTTGAAACTATCTAAACGAAATATAAAGTAAGGAATGATAATTTTCTTCATTTCAGTATTTCGCACTTTCGGAGTATTTAAGTGATCGAAATATTCTACGTCCACTTTGAACCCAGAAATTGGCAGTAGAAGTGTGGCGTTTGCTACTGATAAGATTTGTCAGTAGTATATATAGAGATGTTCATCGGCATAAAAACATTAAATAGCAGACAGATAGATTTGACGCCAAAGAAAGCAAATGATTCAGCTATGCGGAGATACATGGGAGACGTCAAAAGGAAGACAAATAAGAACAATATGGAGGGCAGGAGTAACACAACACGGAAGATCTGTGCAAGTGGTGATTTGAAGATAAGGTGTAAATAATTTCGCTATATAGAGATACTGAATTCCAAGCAAACATTTCTTTACCAAGTTTCTTGCTTTCTAACGTCACAGAAGTTATTCCTACTACCGGTTGAAGAAATGTTCGGAAATCTCTATGTAACCTGCATTTCGATAACAATTTTCATTTTTCGTGCATATTTGATATGATTTGATATTGAAATATGATTTCGTACAGATTTTTCTGAAAGTTGAAAAAAAAACATTTCTTCCTATGAGAACATTTTGTTTATCCCTTTATTGAAAGAACCCTTTGTTTATCTCATCTGTATATTTCCCCGAAATAAGATATTTTTACGCAGGTAACGCACAACGTGTTCTCTTTATATGTGGCTGTCTACTTACCATTATAATAACTGGTCGCCCCAATTGGAAACTCACATTAAATTCATATCTTCGTTGGAAAGAAGAATTAACAAATAGATTGGGAAAATGAAATTGGAGAAGAATCATCGAAATACACAACGTATTAACCTAGTCATTTTATTATTAAATTTGTACCCAGTGGACCAAGCTTTATCTTCAAGTAACCGTGCACTCTTATTTTTTATCATTTTTAGTATCTGTAATATACTCTCAACATCTTATATGACTTTGGCTTAATTTGATAATACTTATCCTTACCCTTGGTAGTTCAACTGTAGGACGCGCGCCAACCACTCAAGCGGTCCATGCTTCGATCACCGGCCGAAGCATTCCTTAGCCTCGCTTAGCCAGAAGTAAGTGAAGCCAGTAAAGAGTGAAGGTTGGGCGTGAGACTAGCAACTCCATAGAAATGAATCCACTGCTACCGAAAATTCAGAGCCCTAGCTTGAAGCTTTATGTTCCACATGGAATGTAAAGAAATAAATTTTTTGAAATAAATTCTTATCGTATCCGCAGACAGATCGATCACAAACTCCCTATTCCACTAGTTAAGAAATGCTATTAGCATTCAATTTTTATATATATTAACTTTTTTGTGCTTAAACAAAAGAAACGCCAAAAAAGACAACATACCTTATACTGTACTGTGTGAGGCATTTCAGCTAGTCGATCACGATAATTTTCTGAATCATTCAATTTGCCACCTAAACTGAGAAATTGATCCTCAGATTCAGAATCTGATTTCTCTCCAAGATCTTGACTGTCAGTAAGCATTTTCTATTACGGAAGAAGATATATATAAGCAAGGAATATGCAGTTAATAAAGTGAATTATTCTTTTAAACAGTTGTCGAGAAAGTACGAGATTCTTGGAGAAGGACTGTCGTACGTGAATGAGTAATGCGGTTGATCAGTGGTTCTCTAACTAATGTCAGCTTATGATGAAATCCCGTAACCAATCACTCAAATCCCTACAAACCAATACTTGAACATTTAACTTCTCCTCTTCTTTTATTTTTAAACATAATTTATGCGTAGTAAAAGCGAATAGTTTTAACCGATTCATTGCAAGTGAAAAAAGAATATTCTTTCTGAGGACTGTCACTTTACCCTATCCAAGAACATTTCATTGGTGGAAACCATCAACTATATGTGTGAATAGGTGGAGGAAATATCTAAACATATATCTGGATTCCACTGAATCTTCTTCAAGAACTATTACCTAACTGTACTAGGGACGTTAATTTCAATTTTAGAGTGGAAGCCTACAGGTTTGTCAGGTCGCAGTGGGTTGCTAGCTGGATCCTATTTTAGCAAACACAGTCATAACTGAACTAGAACATAATGCACTCCACTATCTAATCGGAAAACTTGTGATTTTTTAAAAACATACCAATACCACATTTATGCTCTTTGTAATAATAGATGGTGACATACTTAGTAGGTTGAATAGACTAGACTCAGCTATGCAGTTTACGTGTAATGAAGAGTCGGAGAATAAAACAGCCTTTTTTGGTGTTTTTTTCTCAAAAAGAATAAAGTATGTAACTAAGTAAGGTGAAATGAAATAAGCATCCAACTTACCGAAAAGTAATCCCTTGTTTTACGTGCTTCAGCTACAGTTTTACGCCATGCCTTAAAGTATAACATAGCCATAGTGGATTCTTTAATATGAGCTATTAGAGATTGTGCCACTAAAAATTATAAAAAAAATATTATTTTCCAGTATTAACTGGCAAAAACATGATAAGTATCATTTGCTAAAAGTCAAATTATTCTGGAGAGGATTAAAAATCAGTGAACTGATATCGGCTGCAGAATAATGTGTCACTTTCTCTTCCTGTTTTATGAGTAACTAACAGCCCTAACCCAAGAACCCAAGTATGACGTAGAAGACGGTCGTTAACTTTTGAGATGAAAGTGCTATCACCCACTTAACCAGTCAAAAGTTCAGTAATCTATGGTTTCCAACTTCAATTACTGCTCAGTGTTTTAATGAGTAGTCTCTTCTGTTTAGAGTTCACCAATTAAAGTTGGGGACCGTTTACTTCTTGAATACACACTGAGTAGTTGCTATGTAACACCGAAGAATGGTAAAAGTTATATATCATGAGTTACCGGATTCTAACGCAGTAGGAAGTTTGGAAAGTAATATTTTTATGTTTGATACTTCCTATGTCAGTATAAGCATGTTACTGAAAATCCCTTTATTGAGAAGAAATATCCACTTTTCAGACTAAGTTGGTTCTTGGTAAAACTCACTTTTATGCGACACGACATAGTACCCATTTTTAAGTTATTTAAATCCCTCCAAAACAAGCAGTTTAAGGCAAAGCAATCAAAAATGATTTCTAATACAAACAGATTTTTCAAATGATTAGATCCTTTAATTAGACTCTTACAAGGTGATCACTAACTAACAAAAAATAATTGAATACTGAATGGAAAATAGTTCGTGATTGACTGTTGAACCGAATTTAGTTACATTTCTACCTAACTGAAACACTATGACTGTAACAGAGTTTATCACTGAGGTATTACATCAGAGATGAAACCACAGTTTCTCATGAATATTTGTATTTTTATCGAAATTCTAAAGACTGATCTGAATGAGACAGAACACAGATAAGAAATCTTCCATCTTATTCAAAAAAATCTAAAATAAAGCTAAATGATTAGGTGTTTGGAGGCAATCGGAAGGGATTCTTGGACTCAGGTTTTGTGCTTGTTGGCTCTTGTGAGCAGAGCACATCTACAACCTTAAAGAAACTCCTGTCCCCTCTAGGATTTTAATATGACAGTTAATATACTTGTATTTGCGCTAACGAATTTCCTCCCTGGTCAATTCGCAGACAAGAAGAAGAATAGACACACCGTTGATGTGGAGAAATTTTACTGTCTCATGTCAACAGTTAGAATGACTGACAACGCTTGCATACATACATGCTTTAAATGACCTTGAGAGGCACTGATTACATTGACAAATTCAAGCAGTAAACGACCAATAGAATTTCAAGGTCATAAATGGGGTGAGAGAAATACAACCAGACATGTAAAAGTACATGTAGAAAATTAGGTCTAAATATCATATTCGAACGCCTGTCACCCAGTGCTTAAGCGAGAGACGTTATCATTGAGCTATTCGGCTTCACGATTGACCATCTGTAGAACAGTACTGAGTACTTTGATTGAACAGTAGTTACTTACTAACTAGTGTTCAATCAAAGCAACACTAAATGAGTTTGTAATTTAGAAACCCAATAGACTCTGACAATATCACTCACGTGTTTCAATTATGTCACTTCAAAATAACCCATTCAGAAGGAATCATAAATAAGGGAATAACAGAGTGAAAAACTTTACTCTTAACAATGAAACATATGAAAAAATTGAATAAAAACCGTATTTTAGAAAGAAAAGCTTGTCTGATATTCTGATAGGAACCCGCATAAAATAGTATGTTATTCCTTCTCACGCATATTATGTCTTTTTGTGTGATCATTCATTTCTCACGGCTGTGAGCCGACTTTATTTTGGTAAAAATGTACAAATATTGTGTGTCGTTTTCTTAATAAATGTACAGTATTTTATATTCACAGGCCAGCCTTTGTCTTCTGATATTTGAGTGGCTCAGTGAAGCGGAAGATACAACGGGCGAATAGGCGTATTAGCGTACCAGCCGAGTTCATTACCGTTATAACAATTAGCAGCGCAGATGTAACAAAGTGACGAAAGGGTTTCATTCTATTCACCGAAGCTACGACATATTTTCTACTGCGTTAATTTCATTCCACTTACAATGTCTATTCATTTGCATGATTTCAAATCCATCTTACATACATCTTGAATAATCTTTTGATGATACAGTCACCGTTTTTTGCCAAATTTTCAGTGAACAGTCATCCATGTTTAATATTCGGTACGAATGTTTTCAGTTAACAAATATACCTTCCGATGATTATGACACTTATGCTGGCAAAAAGTGAACAGGGAATGTGAAAGATTCAAACCGTATGGGATGACATCAAATCATTTCAAGTGTTTCATTTTTATTTGGGGTTTGAAAAGTTCAGAAGATGCTAACATTAGAACTCAACTTCTGTCACTCGTGGAACAAGACGCGAAAATGACTTTACAAATAGCGACAGCAGAATACCAACGTTTAATCAAAAATTATAACAATTAGCAGTGTAGATATAACACATACGGAGTGAAAGATTATGAAAATAGTGTTTCAGTAGATTTATTTGTGAATAAAAAATTCATCCAACTCCTCAAGCCTTCAGTCCATAATCTATCAGAGTTAAATAATGTTGACTTCAACTCCATTATTCATTATCAGAGATAAATATTTCTTAAAAGTTTAACCAATGAATATCACTTCACTGCGTTGTGTTATGTAAAACAGACGAACCAAAGTGAAATTTCATTTCGTATTCTCACTGTCACACTTCTAGTAGTTCCTTCTAAAGGCCTTTCAATTCATATATGTTATGGTTTATTAGCAACAAAAAAGCACTCACTGTTCTGTTTATTTTTCACAAAGTGTGCAAAATCTTGCCAAGCATGAAATATAATTTTTAGCCTCCTAATTTTCCAGCTTCTTTCTGCAATGTAGTTTATTTTGTACATATAAGTTGTTCGTGCTCGTTTAATAATAAAATACAATTTCCAAGCGCTTGAAAAATAAAATAATGGGTGTTAATTTGAGGGTGTATAGGAGATGAAAGAGACAAAAAACAACAACAACAGGCAGGTTTACTTAATTATCAAGCTGCTTTTTGTTTACTAGTGTTTCATTGTAAAATAAAGATTTGATGGCGTCACTTATTCTCTCCTTACTGACTGACTACAGGACGGCGTGTGTATGATGTCCTAGTGACCACTGGGATCTGCCGGGTAGGGTGTGAGAACGAATTCTCGCTGATGATATGGGCTGGGAGAAGCGCCATACATGGATCAGCTCTGGCTTTCAGTAGTTCCCTAAATGATATCAGTTTATGGAACCAATGAAATCTATCCAAGCCAAAACTTAAAAATACTTGAAATAACACAAAGTCTTAAAGCATTACTCCATTCATATTTGACATTATGGATATATTGTTTACAGTTATATAATAGATTGAATTCAATTCGGGGATACGTTTCATGAACTCTTCACTGCCCATATGAATAATATGTTATCAAGTATTGATTTTGTTTGACTGGTTGGAGGATTTCATCATGAGCTGACATCGGTTAGCGGACTATTGGAAAACCTGCAGGGATTACTGGAAGTACGCACACACTGGTTCTAAACCAGGACCCTGTAACCAGAAGGTCCTGGATTAGAACCAGTGGGTGCGCACCGATGAAGAATCCCAAACCAGGACGAAACGGGTGTCCGGCACTCCCTGCAGCTTTTCCAGTAGTCCGCTAACCGATGTCAGTTCATGATGAAATCCTTCAATGAATAATATATTACTTGCTAGAAAAACTTGATAGTCTAAAAAATTACTAATCTTGTTTCTCTGTACTTTTATTACAGTTTACTACAGATCTGAGAAATATTCTTCACTAAATTCGATTGTTTACATAATATACAATGAATGTTAAGGGAATAAACTCACCTGAAACATTTCTTTAGTATTGATTGTTTATGAGCAGCGTAAGCCTTTCCTATCATTTCTGGTGTTGGCTTGGGTAAAAATAGAAGAATATTTTGGAACAAAACTTCAATAAGTTGTTGATATAAATATGTTAGCTTCATCTTAATTAGATCATAAATGCGTAAAAATCTCTAACTCATAACAGATTGATAATGTAAGAGCAGAAAAACAAAACTTTTACCAACTATATGAACAATGAATAGTATAAAAAAAATGCACAGAAATAAATGCAGTTCATTTAGCTTTGGGGTGTTTTTCTTTTGTGTACTTATGTGTCATCAGAAATGATAGTCAGAAAAGTTCATATTTGATAGTTAGAGGTGATCATAAGGAAGGAAGTCCCCGACCTAGGTTTTGTGCATGCTGGCACTCACCAGTCAGCAAGGAGTGTCTACATTCTTGAGGGGACTCATGTTCCTTCTGAGATTTCAATCAGTGTCACCCAGTGATGCAGTCACAGACGTTACCACTGAGCTTTCCGCGCTCGCAACCGGCCTCCTGAAAGACTGTATTGGATATTTTTGATTGGACATCAGTCATTAACTTGCGTAATGTGTCCAGACCTATCTCTGACTTAGATTGAATCCTATCAGTTAAGTTTGTAATGTGACCACCATTCTAGATGGCTCACTATCACAGAGCACTTTGAATTGTTGATATGCCTTACTGGCAAGTACCAACTAGCACGAAACCTAGGTTCAAGGCTTCCTGCCGATTGCCTCCAACCATCTAGTACCAATAGTTCAAAGTGCGCCGTGACGATGTGCCACCTAGAATAGTGGCCACATTACAAACTTGATTGATAGGATTCAATCTGCGTCAGAGATAGGACTAGACACATTACACTAGTTACTAACTAGTGTCCAATAAAGAACTATTCATTTTTCATCTCTTTAAAGTAACAGTTGTCGTGTAGTCATGTGTAAATTTCTGCACAGAAATAACCTAAAAAACCTCATATTTGGTGGTTTCAGTGACCATGATTTATGCCTACTCAAGAATATCTAATCTACAGCCAGTTAGAATCCACTACAAATGCGGAGTCTGGAACAATATGATTGTGCAGTTCCTCGTTGGGTGTTAGAAATAGGAACATTGTACATAACGTTTGTTTAAAACCATTCATTGTAAAATATGCAAGACTTTGGAGTACAATCTGGAATACAAAGTTCTACTCGACACTTCGTTTTCTCACTTGTCCATACCGTCTATTTCCTTCAGCACTAACCGTGTTGTATCCTTTGGATTTTGCAAAAACCTTTCATCCTCATCCGAAGACTATTCTACAACCGTTGCACAGCTTCTACCAGTAGACACGACTCCAGCAGTGAACACTATTGTGGATTATATTAATAATTTGTAGCAGCGGACTTTAACTGTATCACCAAGTAACCATTAATTTATATAACTCGTTAACTGTATTTTTTATAATATACTGGTACAATATTATTTCATGACTTGGATTTTTATTCTAATATTTGTACGGTTACCGAGCTCCCTATTAAGTCATGTCACATGTCACATAAGCAACTGTTATATACTGACCATCATCCTATCCGATGAATCTCTGAGAAATACAAATTCATAAACATCACAGATGCACACAGTTTTCCCTGTGATACTCTAGAACTGATTTTTTGCTAACAGGAAACATCAGCTAATACTTATTAACTATAGTTTTGAATAATGAATTCATTCAGTGTAATAAGAAAACTACAGTGACTTTTTGAAAAGAAATAAAACTTTTTTGGAAGCATTTTTCCCGGGATAAAACATTTGTCTTTAAAACTCAGTCATTGTATAACGCCTGATGGTGATTTATTTTAATATGATCTAAAATTCAAACTTTCTGTTTGAAGATATGAAATACAACTTCATAAATGTTTCAACACAATAAATCATTCTCCCTGAAATTCTGTTATGTGTGACAGATAGAAGAGAATTTGAATTAATTTCAATGCAGATTTTATCATGAAATAAAATCATTTAGAGAGGTCATTGAAAACCAAGTAGCGCTGCACAGCTATTTCGTCCCATTTTGAAACTCTTCAGCATTGCACACCTGTAATCCCATTAAGGATCGAACCCGGCAACTTCAGGTAACGAGACTAAGCTCATTGACCGATCAGCAACTTACGCCGGGATTCAGTGACCCATGAAATTTAACTCCCATTGATTCGTGATATAACGCTACTTTCACTGATGCCTTCGATGTGCAACCAGTTTACCATGGCATGATGGACCCTTCTCATCACGACTTCTCAGTACAGCATGAGGACATCCAGTAGCCATCAATGAGCTGACATATATAAAAGGTGAAGTAGATTTCCCCTGAAGTCATTGGTGAGGGTAGGGTTATATCACGAATCAACAGAAGGTGGATTTCGTGGGTCATTAAACTCCCTGCCAAATGGCTGAATAGTCAATGAGCTTGGTCTCGTTACCTGAAGTTGCAGGGTTCTATCTCTAGTGCAGTCATGGGTTCTCACTGCTAAAGAGTTCCAAAATAGGACGAAATAGCTATCCAGTGCCCTATGGTTTTCAGCGAACTCTAACTTATGGTTGGTTCATGAAGAAATCTGTTTTGAAAGAAGAGAATAATATTGTAGGTATAAGTATCTTTGAAAATTTTCAAGTATTGGTTTTGTAGGGATTTTGTTTGATTGGTTGGAGGATTTCATCATTAACTGACATCAGTTAGGGAACCATTAGAAAACCAGTAGGCAGTACTGGACAAGTGTTTCGTCCTAGTTTGGGAATCTTTAGCAGTACGCGCCCACCTGGGATAGAAACAAAGATATCAGCTCATGATGAAATCCTCTAACCAATTAAACTAAATCCCTACTTAACCAATACTTGAAAATTGACCTGATACTCACTGGCTACTGACCCTATTCAGGCAGTGATCTGGGGTTCAGTGGGAATCCGTGATCAGTAGGGTGCAGCAGGTTGAAGGTGAGGCAGTAACTCGTCGAAGAGATTGTGAAGTGGTCGCGCTATGCCATAAACTAACAGAAGTTAGAATTCATGGGCAGGCCGTTGGATCGGGTCCCAGTGGCTTGATGGTCTACGAGCTCGCCTTGTAACCAGAGGGTCCTGAGTTCGAACCCTGGTGATGGATGCACACTGATGAAGAGTCCCAAACTAAGACAAAACAGCTATTTTTGAAAAGTCATATTATAGTGAACTCAATGACAATGTATCCTTAACAAATTTTTTTACAGGTTTGCTATTAGCCTTGATATGTTAATCTCAAGTGATTTTGAATTAAACTGGAGAAGATTTAGTATCAACAAATAAATAAATTTGGTTAACTCATGAAACAAGTGACTGTTAGTTACCCTGTGTTTATCGGTGGGGTCTATGTGTAGGCTTAGTCTGGATGATTCTTAAAGTGTCCACCAATAAATCCTTAAATAGTATCAGAGATATGAATAATTTTCCACTAATTTATCATTACTCAGTTCTCATTCTTCATCGCTAGTTTTAGTGCATTTCTAACTTCATATACTGTATTACATTTGATACCCTGAAATATACTTGTGTTTGGAATCCTGTATTATAATTTCAATATTCACCTGCCACAGAAAGTAAACTTTGATAAATAAAATCGCAATATCTCTTGTTTTAAGTTTATACTGAACTTCTTAGATTTAATGGTTTCAGCAGAAATGTCTTCCTAAATTTAAACAAAGAGTTAATCAGTTTTCATCGTGAATGACAAACTATTTTTTTTTCAGAAAATAACATTAAACCTGCGCGATTCGTAAACAAAAGAAGGTAATCCACTTGATAGAACAGAATGCTCTTATAGTCATTTTCCTTACCTGATAAAAAACAAAGATCTTTAGCTTGGCTATCTGAGCCACTTGTATAGTCTTTGATAACTTTAGTCAAAAAATTTTAGGATAAGTATAACTTAGACGTGAAATTTCTCAAAGTTTAAGTGAAGTCTAGTGTCACATGAAAGCGAAGACTCACAGGTAAAAACCAACAGGATGGCAGAAGAGATGGGCAGAAAAGACAGGACCTCAAGTAAACATAGATAAGACGGAGGTGATGAAGATAACCAGTCACGGACAAGAAGCACCAGTCACTCTCAATGGGAGGAATTTGAAAGAGGTTACTTTCTTCAATAATGTAGGCGGTATCGTTTCAACTACAGGCCAAGGATGTCAAAAACAGAATCGGAAAGACGAGGCAGACATTCATCGCTCTGAAGTCAGTTTTATAATCTCCCGTACTCAGCAAAAATAACAAAATTTTGATTTTCAACACAAATGGTACGTCAGTCAGTTCTTCTATATGAGTCAGAAACTTGCAATGCACATCATGTAAAGTACCTTCAAGAGGTTTCAGACTTTTATCAACACCTGTCTTCTCTAGATCCATATTGAAGATCAAATAGGGGATGAGAAGGAATTAGAAACAAGAAACTCTGTAAAAGAATCAATCAAGAACCTGTCACTCAAGATATACGTCAAAGAAAGTGGAGATGGATTGGACACATGCTGAAAAGAAACAGTTGAATTACGTTGTATTCTAGGCAATCGTCCGAGTGGTACTCGATTGGGCAACGACGAGTTGGTCGTCTGAGATTGACGTGGAGGCGACTGTGTGAGGAGGAAATGTGAGTTTCTGGGCAATCATGGGGCCAGTTGAAAAGGATCACAGAGAACAGGATGAAATGGAGATGTAACGTTGAAGCCTTATATTCCACTTGTAACTCAAGGGAATAATTATATATACATAATAATAACAAGTAAATTCTAACATTCTTACTTGGTATTGCAGTTCTTCAGGTGAAATCTAATCAAAAGAAATACAAACACTTTATTACTTTACTCTGGTATAAGTATTAACGAAAGTTAAACTGTGTAACTGTTAATTTAAATACTCCCTAGTGTGGTGTATCCTCTAAGGTTACAGAGAATGCTATTCACACTTCATGTTAATTACATATTCTAAAGTTACAAATGTAAATATATATTAGCCTTATAAATGATTAAGTGGTGTATAACAGAGTTGTACATTCATCAACTGTCACTACATTGTCTTCGAAAATATTAACACAATTCACATCCTTAACATATATATATAAGAGGGAATAATGTTTGTTTTAATATCTACTGATATGATGAATCAGTAAGATAACATGTCTACAGAATACTTATATGGACTGGACAAAGACTAAATCACCATACTTTCTGTGTATTTCAATATAAAAAGGTACTCACTATACATTTGTATAGACGGTTTTAAAACAAGTAGACAGGGAATACTATCCAAGATTTCGCTAAACTATTGTGCGATAATAACTATCCTCTGTAAATCACTAAACTTTATGTGCACTCCAGTAAGTCAATAAATATTTAAGACAATTGTAAGTACTTCTTCACTGTTAAGGGCCGATTCCCACATTCTCATCACAAAGCTTTTTAAACCGTATTCTGTGGATCACACCATAAAGCAGAACTGATTGTCGTAAAGAAGGCGTTGCCAATGTTCTTCTGGGACCTATCACTTAGTTTCAAAGACTATATCACCAAACTTCACCCCCTAATGAAGTTTGCCAGTTTATATGGACGTGTGATCAAGCATAAATAGAGGTTTGAGTTATCTAGGTAATAGATATCCATCGTTATCTATCACAAGGAGATGGGTCATAATGATGATAATTCCAACTGCATTTTGAAACTCTTTTATCAGAAATATCACATTTTTTATTACAGCTTGATTTCACACCGTATTTTTTGGTACAGGTATGGAATTCTCAGCATGTGATATCTGTAGCCCAAATTCTGCCGGCCGACCATAGATATCAGGTGTGCGTCGGCAGGGGATCGAACCCCGGACCATGTGCATGGTTGGCGAGAGTCCTACTGTGCCACTGATGCCACAGACGTCGTGATAAAAAATGTATATTCAAAAATCCTCTGTCAAAATACTACAACCGCCTTATTAGTTCAATTTTAAAACTGACTAACTTGAACACTCATTTTCTCATATTCCATTTTGTTTTAGCTTGTAGCATTTGTGTGACATTTTAGCTCAGATATTAGTTTCGGTTTTGATCTTTTTTACTAGAAAGACGGTATATCCAGACTCAAGGTCATGATGGGTTCCTACGTCGACTGGCTATACGTTTTCGTGAACTCGTTTGTTATTGAAATTTACAGATTTTTTTGACGTTTTGCGTATTTTAACGTGTTGAGGTCAATTTCTGTCATTTCCCAGCTAGCATTTTCTTCGGGCACATTGCAGAACGTGGGACAGTGGTCTGCAGTCTGTCCCCAAAGATTGTTCAGTGTGCTCAAAGTCGGTGCTAGCTGGGTGGGTGCTACTATAAGCCTATCTTTGGTCTGAAGTTCACAGTTATTAAGTTGATAGTTAACAATTATGGTAAACCTGCAACCATTGAGCTACCTAGCATATACTAGGCTAAGATAGTAAACCGTTCATAGTACAAAATGAAATTTAATTGCAGTCTAGTTAACCCTTTAAGTGTTGGGACAGTGTAATTGATGGATCCTATTAGTCATGGCTATTTAGGATATGCTTCCCACTATGACACATGTTTTAGACCAATAGGAGGCCACCTAACCAACAGCCAATCAAAATATGACTATATCTGTTTTCCTTATACTATGCCAACTTTTATACTAATGTTTGTGACTAGAATGTTTGAAATTTATTGGGTGAGTTCAGACTACAGTAAAAATCTAAATAATATACAAAAAAATGATTTTAAAAATTAAAATACAAACCTAACACTTACGAATTCTAATTTTTCAGTTCCAAACAGAGAGTTCATTAATTCATGATCAACATATGGATGAGAAGGTTTCATATCTGGATCAATAAATGTGTCCCTTCAGTACAAATAATAAATAAACAAAGGTTCATTTGAAATATCTCATTTCCACCGTTTTGGTTACTTAATAATTTCATATCAGTGTACAATTTGTCACAAATTGATATTAGTTGCGGAATCACTGAAAACTGAAGACCATTGGGCTCTTCAGCAATGCATATCCACGTAGGTGTTCACAAAAGAAGTATATTTAAGCAGAATAAGTTTCAGACTCAATTTTTGAGAAGAGGCAGGTCGGGTGTGAGGATAAATACTTGCCGAAGACATTGGCTAGCGGTCTCATTATGTCGTGATTTGGCAGAAGTTTGAATTCATGGGCCATTGGATCAGGTCCCAGTGGCCGAATGGTCTAAAACCTCTCCTTGTAACCAGAGGATCCTGGGTTTGAACCTCGCGGTGTGGGTAAGTACTGACGAAGGGTGTCAAAATAGGACGAAACAGCTGTCCAGTATTCACAGGTTTTCCAATGGTTCTCTAACCGATGTCAGCTCATGATTAAATCCTGTAACTAATAACTGTTGAATGGTCAATGGTTAGGAGTAGTAACCTGAGAATCTTGGGTGTGATCCCTGGCAAAGTCGTAAACGCACTCCATTGAAGAGTCCCAGACAAAAAGGGAACAGGTATACAGCGCCCCTTAGTTTTCAATGACGTTTTAACTAATCATAATCCCCAAAACAGTGGCCTAGTGTATATCTCTTTGGCAATCAAATCAATGGGTGCTGGATTCGAGTGACTGTGGAAACACAAATCACTCATAGAGAAACAAATACTTCCAGTTGGTGAGTCCTAAATATGACGGAATGAACATCTCGAGTTCTACTGCTGGCTGCCACCAAACAAGTGACTTCGAGAAATACATTTAAAATCTAAATAAAATAACTTTATATTGCTGGTTATGAAATGTGTAGTTCGGGATTGATTTGTATCATCAAACCTATAGAGTAGCATGAATATTCTTAATCATGAAATATATAGTAATAACGGAATTTATTATATCACCCAGTGATTTCAAAGAATGCTCATTTGTGCAGAAGCTTGTCTTTAGATTATTATAATCATCTTTAAAGAGATGCTGCATAAGTTTAAAATTTTTACGGTGAGGAATATTGCTCATAGAAAGCGTCACATTTTGCAATTTCTTAAAAATGTTATTCCATCTCACTGAATGTCAAAACAATTAACATTAATTTACACTAAACATGTAGAACTAATGTTACCACCTGTTTGTTTTAGTCTCAATTGAATTAATTTTTGGTTCGTTTAAACCTCTTAACTGTCGGTCAACTTTTTATACTATTTAACTTCATCTCAGTGTCAAGTGACTTTTACAAATAGTGGAGTTAACAGGGGGAAAATGATCCCTACTAACTTTCTACAGTTGGTTTGTAAGGATTAGTTTTGTTCTCAGGAGTTGATCACGGATTGATATCAGTTAGAGAACCTATGAAAACCAGGGAATACTGGACAGTTGTTTCATCGGAGTTTGAGAATCACCGGCAGTACGCACTCACTGAGGCTAGAATACAGATCCCTACTAACAAAATGTAAATCCTGATAATTATTTTAACGAACAATCATTTAATAAGAAAGTGTTTTATGGTAGTGTAATGTTCAATAGACAATCACACTTAATTAGGTTTCTTTTATCAAAGTTAGTTACTACATTTATTGAATTTGAATTTCCTATTGACTGATTTTAATCGGACTGAAATGTTCACTGACTGTTGACATGTTGACTCCTAATACGAAGCCTGTATTATAGTTAACATGATATTATTTGGTTGACGATGGCTAGTGGTGGAATTTACGACTCACATTTTGTCCTTATTTCAGACTCAGCAGACGAATCGTCATCAATATCCCCACTGAAACTAAAACTCAGCAGACATCGTTTTAAATGCCAAAGCACTGTAAACATTTGATTGGACACTGGTAACTAGTGTGATGTGTCTAGTCCTTTCTTTGGTGAGGACTGAATTCCATCCGTCAGCTCAGTGGTAACGTCTTTGACTACAGCACTGGGTTCTAATCTTAGAAGGGACATGAGTTGCTTCAAGGTTGCAGATACGCCTCCCTGACGAGTACGGACTAGCACGAAATCTAGGTCAGGCAAGGCTTCCTACCAATTGCCTCCAACCACCTAATATCACTGTAAACATTGTAATAAATGTTGACAAAATTTAAAGAATGAAGAAACTTACCAGTTCAAATTGATGTAACCTATCTCATAAAGAAGTTGGAGCTTTTCAGCAATCCAACTGTGTGGATTCTCTGGTAACATGACACTAAGACCACATAACAACGCCTTTAATAAAGAAAAGCAAATACGTACAAAATTTTGTAGTATTATAATGACTTCCTAAATGTATACTTCATGAAATTAATGCTAATTTTGAAGTAATAATTACATTGTGTAGTTAAAGTTTAATTTCCACATCTTCAGTTAAACTATAGTTGAGAGTAAACTTCATTAATCTGAATAAAGTTAGACGTAGTTTTCACTTCCTAAGCAACGGTTATCCCACCTCTTAACTAGTAGATATTGAGTTCCACGTATCAATCAAATATGTATCTTCTTCATGTGTACATAATTAATATAACAGTTATCATCCTTACTCCATTTTCTCTCATAACATCTCTTTAATACTGGTATATATTAACTTAATTTTCTTCTTGTTCTTTGACATGTCTGGTTGTATTTCTTTCACCACAGTTATGACCTTGAAATCTTATTGGTTGTTGGCTGTTTGGATTTGTCAATGTAATTAGTGCCTCTCAAGGTCGTTTAAAGCACATGTATACGCAAGCTCTGTCAATCATTTTCTCCGTTGATACAAGACAATGAAAGCTGCATACGTGAACGATCTGTCTTCTCTTCATGAGTCGCGTTTTCAGTGGTATCGTATCGTGTTGTTGTTGTTGTTGCTAATGTTGGTTTAAGCAATAGGCTCGCATATCGACCACGAAGGAAATTCATTAACGCAACTAAAAGTGTATTAACGATCATAGCAAATATGAATGTTAAACTTAACTAAAACTTAAATAATCTTAACTGCAGACGTAATTCCATTTTTATGCACTCACTCAAGTTCTTTGCTTTTACAACTTGTGATGAATGATGTCGTGAATTTATGCAACTGAAGCTTATGTTGTCTAGTAACTGATTGCTTCGAGTAATTTAGTCTCTATTCTCTCTCTTCATCAAATATTTTTTAGCGAATAATTTCTTTCATATTCATATCTCCTATTACAACCAAGAGTTGGTGTGTAAATCACGTTAATAGAACAACAAATAAATGGATTTTTAAAAAAGAATAATTGCATAAGGCTGGGAAATATGTCACTGATTTCCTCATTAGATAACTTTTTATTCCTAAATCCTTATATTTTTGATTATCCTCTTATAATATTCATCTACTGTTAGTATTTTCTACCCTTGTAAATATAACAAATTGTTTAGATTGAACATTGGAATTAAATTAAAGTATTACGTATTCTTGAAATCGAAGTTAGATGAATCTTCAGTTCACAGTGAATGTGTTATCCATCAGTAATACACTTTTAGTACTGAAGGTTAAAAACTAATGAAACCTCTAGGATAATAATGCAGCCTAGCTTATAACAATATATACTTTCTGAACATATAAAATAATTAAATTTGCATATAACAGCCTCAAGTGTGTCAACGGCACAGCCGTAGAATGCGTTCACCAACCACACATGTGGTTCGGGGTTCGATCCCCGACAGACAGACGCATTCCTTTACCTCACAAAGGCAGTAATAATACTGGTAAAGAGGGAAGGCTGGACATGAGGCTAGCAACCCCAATTCCGTAAAAATAAACGCTATTGCTACCTAAACTTCAAGCCTCTAGCTTGAAGCCATATGTTCCAGTGGGAAAGTTAAGCAATAAAAGATAATAAAAACAGCTTCAAAATGAGCACTGTTCACTTGTAAAGAAAGTAAAGCTGTTTAAGAAGCTTGGTGAAATATGCATACAGGTCATTGTATCAACTGAATGGAGAAATTAAATTTGCTGTAGTAGTGAAATGTAAATTATCTGCGCTAAAACATACTTTTTCACAAGTCTTTATTTTCCACTAATTTAACTTTGTTCTTTTTATCCTGTTACACAGCTTTTAAGAAGATTCTTTGGTATACCACTCAAAGATATATGAATACACGGAAGCTCTGCACAAATGTTCGGAGTTTTTGCTGTTTTGTTTGACGAAAACATAAAAGTTATGAAGTTAGGTAACAATGATATGAAGGAGAGTCTTTATTCTTTGCTAACTGTCTGCGACATTTCAAACTGTCTGTTGCACTAACATTTGGGGAATGAGTAACCTTAATGTTGCGTTCTTATTCCTGGATAAATCAAACATCACGAGCTCTGAAAAGTAGTGAAATATCTATTGTACATAACATGTGAGAGTACTTCCACTTCAACTTCGTAAAACTTCTCAATTAAAAGTTAGTTAAAATTAGAACGATCAATCAGTGTGATAAATCTTTAACAATATGGTTAATTATCTGAATGATTTCTTACCTCGAAAATTTCATATAAATGATGTATTCGAGCATATTTGACAAGGACTGGGTCAGGTTTCCTAATCTGAATTTCAATTTGATCCTATAGAAATTTTAACAGGTGATAAGACGGTTTGTTTATAAAAATTATTGTATCAAATAAGTGACAAATAGAGGGAAATAAATCATTAAGAAAGAAGAGAATTCAAATTATTAACTTATTTATTTCACTTTAGTTTTTCGTCTACATAAAGATTTATATATTTGTGTGTATTTTAGTCCATGGTTATTTGGCCAAATTCAAACGTGGCAATGGATTTACAATAGCAGCTTCAATCTCCTCGAATACAGTATGTACATCTCGATCTGCATGCACTCTGATAACACATGAGTCATAATAATCAATAAGGTCATCACGATGAGCAGTAAATCTAGCCAATTTTGCGCCTATAGTACACTCTCGATCTTTAGGATGTTGTAAAGCACGTTGATTGATTGCTGCATCCTCTACTGGTTGAAATAATGTATGAAAACGTGTGCCAGTGACAGGATCAACTCTACGTCCAGAAAGTCTTTCTGATGCACATGACTGATGTATATCCAATAAAATAACTCTGTTCGGTGCTAATTGATTGGATGACAGAAGTTCAGCTTGCTGACGTGTACGAGGATAACCATAAAGTATCCAGCCATATGTAACACAATCTATTTGATTCAGTCTATTTTTTACTGCTTCTGAGATTATTGCATCTGGAACTGTATATAATAAGAAAAAAGGATAAATGAACATTAGGTGTACAGTTATTAAGAAACGTTTGCACGAGTAATAGTGAATTCAGAATTCAAAACCAAAGAGATTTAATACTGTGACTAAAAAGACACCAAGGTTTCCTGACAGTTGCCTCCAACAATTCCCAGCTCACCATGACGACAAGCCACCTAGCACTGTGGCCATACTACAAATCTGAGTGATAAAATTCAGTATGCATCAAATGAAGGAGTAGAGACACGAGACCAGTTACTTAGTACCTAGTGTCCAAACAAAGTATCCAACACAGTCCTACAGAAGGTCAGTCGAGAGCCAGAATAGCTCATTGGCAAGGTCTGTGTCTGCGTCACTGGTTGGCACGGGTTGGAATCTCAGAAGTGACATGAGTTTCTTCAAGATTGAGATAAGCCTTGCTGACGAGCAATAACAAGCACGAAACCTAGGTCGAGCCTTCCTTCCTTATGATTGCCTCCAACCATCTAGTAGCAATCGGTAATTTTCACTACTAATGATTCTAAATAGAAACAGTTCTGTTGAATTTCTAATTAGGGGTTTTATAATTATAAGTAAAGATATTTGTATAATTCTTTCTGTTTCCTTCTGCAGAACAAAAAATAGGAGACATTCTACAGTGGGCTATTGGAACAACGCGAAGGAATTGTACAGGAAAATTAGGATAGAAAAAAACAAGCCTGACAAAGGCAAAAGTATAAAAGCGATTGATCACATAGAAACAATGGAATTTATTCGAAATTATCAAAAGAAATTCCAATTTACTGGTAATTTTTAAGGATTCAAATGAAAAAGCTGAAAACCTAATGAGTGATTCCTTACAGAAATTGTAACCTAAAGAAATGTTTCTGACAGCCATGAATGATTCAATGAAGCCCAGTAGTGAATCGTATTTCACGACTATAGAATCTGCTTTAAGTGCTCAAACTTGGACTTTATCTTCGCGAGGTTCTAGATAAGTATTATTCGACATGGAGTAGAAAAGCAGGCGGTTAGTTTAAATTTTTCTCTACTCTGATAAAAAAATTGCGACTTGTAGGATAAATTATGTTTTCTGCTTTGATTGTAAATTTTCAGTGATAAATATAAGAAGAAAAGCATCATATTCCTGGATCTATGATTAGTATTCAAAAACGTAACAGTTATGGCAATAGTTGATTATCTATACCAACAAACCGATGAAAAGCAAGTTCACATTGAAGGTCGTCAGGAATTATTCCTTAGATGTACGATCAATGCACGACTCGTTACTAAAACACACTAAATACAAATATGTGGAATCGCTTTGAACTTATCAGTGAGATCGATTTAATCAGATTTCTTTCCAGCGGAACTTGAAGACGGTCGATTGAAAGATGTCATCATTAGTATGGAAACATTTTACCACTATGTCGATGGCATATTTATCATCATTGATTAGAAAGTGAATTTCAGTGGATAATTGGTGACATTAAATAACACACATCCATCTCTTATTTTCACTTGTGAAGAGGATCACAAAAGCAAACTTCACTTTCATGATATTCTGAGCATGGGAAAAGTGTGTATGGGGAGAACATATACACAGGTCAGTACATTCGTACACAAGCATGTACTTATTCGTTACTAGCGAGCTAGCAAACTAGGCTAAGTTATTCGGTTACAGAAATAATTTGGTTAAATATCTTATAAGCGGATCAAGAAAAATTCCTTTGTAGGAATGTGGAAAACTACATTCATTTATCCTTGAATGAAATGTAGCAACCGTTTCTTTAAAGAAATAGGTATATTAAAAACTCAGTATAACCCGGTACTGAAGATTATGAGAAAGTAAATATTATTTATTGACTTGGAGTTTAATAATGATGCATCAAGTGAAGTTCTCTTCGAATGACCAGTAAGCATAATAATAACAATAAAGAACACTTCTCCAGTAAACCTGTGTTTGTTATTTCCTAGTCAACGAATGGCAGTTACTTAGACAATAACGATGAGTAAGCTAGTTTTGCCACATTCATTTGTGTTTAGCGTTTTGACTGCTATTGTGAGAACACTTATATTAGGCGTACAACCAAATAACTTAGTCATCGTGTCCAAAAGACAAGAACTATCCGAACTTCGATTTTGTCCCATTTGGTTGCCAGTAGGCTGTCAGTGGAGGAAATGAAAACATTTAAAGTAGTTTATTGCATCTGATTGAATCCTTCTAATGAGTTCTCTATATGTTTGCTGTATATGGCTAAGTCTGAAGACTAGACTATATGTCTAGTAAAATTCATACACCCACTATCCCTCCCATGGCAGGAATGCAGTCTGCTAATTTTTACACTTAAATATTTCTAACCACTTTCTCATAGATGTGTGCCAGCCCTTTTATCTCTTTATTATATCTTTATTAAAAGTTGACTTACGTACTTCCCTTACAGTTGATAATTAAATGGTATTAGTGTTATTTAGATGGCGCTGGCCGGTAGCAGAATTATTATTTTTATTCGTTTCTCAAGTCATGTAAGATCGCGCTATTTAAATACTCCCATTAACATATACTTCGCGATTCTTGTTTGTTATTCTTCTTGCTATTACTATTATTATTGTTGTTATAGACATAATTGTTATAACGATTAAATGCATGACTAATTATCCTGTCATTCCACCAACAAATCACCACCATGGTTTGTATGTAATATTTTTCTGTCACTAACAGCTACCAACAAAAACATACCTGGTAAACCTTTATAAACATAAGTCTTCATGATATTCCCAATAGAAGACTGATTAGCAATTTCTTGAAGAACAAGATGTCCACAATCCACTGATATTAATCCATATTTCTTAGCCAGTAGTGTTGCTTGAGTTTTTTTACCAGCACCAGGATAACCAAGAAGAATTATTCTAGGTGTTTTCAGTGCAATACTTCGATGTCGTTGATTTATTTTCCCTAGAACAGAAGAGTATACATCAGTGGTTGGTTGGTCTGCATTGAACTCATAGGCCACACTGGAATAAATGTTCTTTAGTAAAACCACTTCTCTTTTATAGTCATCGTATTCTTTTCTAACATCTTCTTTATTTCCTGGAAGTTTTTGCAAACGTCGTTCGACTAGCGGATCAAGAGGTGGATTGTATATCAAATTATACAGATCTGAAAATTCAAGAAAAATCATTCTATGATACACAAGGGATTTAATCTATTTCACCTCCAGTTTCCGGATCGATTCTTTTTGCTGAAACTGTCTCAATCAGTGATGGCAAAGGTGCTTCCAAGAATACTAAAACAGTTTTTATTCACCAAAAAATAGGTATTTAATCATACTGGCATATTCGGGAAATATTCCTTCACGTCTGAGCGCTTTGGCTTCACTTTCAAATCGTGGAAAGTCAACAATAATATAGCCTTTTGATTCACAATCTGGTTCTTTAAGTCGTTTCTTTAAGGCAGCAGTCAATTCTTGTGGTGAGGCGTTCTGTAGGAGGAAAAATGCACTTCATCTTTAGTCTCAAATATATAATGTTGTGTCAAGAACATATGCAATGATTTAGAGTCAAGGTATACATAGATACATATATAAATACATGCATTTCTACATATGATAAGGAACAAACATTTAAAAGCATTACGAAAATTCCTCACTTTTGAAGAAACTCTGATGGAAGATAAAATCATAAAATGAGTAAAATGTTTGAAATCTTTGCCTCATTATAATCTTTGATCACCTTGGAAAGCATGTTCTTTCCATGTTAAATGACTATACACCTTTCGACTTTATTCAGCTTCCCATTAGCAAAATGATGAGGTAGTAATCTCCAGTTTTCTAAAGTAACAGTATGAAGTATTATTCTCGAGTGAATTTACTCAGCTAGTTAGCACTCAACAAAAGTAACGGAAAAACAGTAGTATACCAAAAAAATATATTGTTGGTAAATGGAAGATAATAATAAGGTGAAGATTAGTGAGCAAATATATTTGGATTGTACTTTCAGTCTCGGTGATCACACAGAGAAACACAACTGTCAGTGTACTTTAAGAAAAGTCCAGGCGTCAGAATTACATAAATTTCATCTAGCTAGTCGCTTTTCTAGCCACTCATAGTGGGTACCAGTATGCTATATATCTACTTCTAGAATAAATGATGTTCATTCTTTAGCTTCTACTATTTTCCTAGTGAAACGCAGTTTACAGCCCTGATAATAAGCTGTTTACATTCTCGATGAAGCCTTTTAGAGATGAACTGTTCGTAAGTTTTTACATACAGGTTTAGAGGATGACGGATGTTTATGAGCAAAAATGATACGATCATAAAATTATACATGAAGTTAGTCGTTCGCCACGAAATGTGCTTATTCAACGTCACCACAGACCAGTCAGTAAGCAGCAGCAACAGCAAAGTGACATTTAGACTGTCCGAAATACAAAGTATATTTCACTACCAGCAATGTTTTATAGCGACACCTGCTGAACTAGATAATGTTACAGCATGGGGAACCTTAAGTAACACGATATTATACCTAATTTTGTAGGTTTTTTACTACCTACCTTTGGCTTTACCTATCAAGTTAGACAGGAAAGGTCAGAAACTAATGTTAGCTGATGACGAGATAATTTTTAGAAATTATTTGCTGCCACAGAGCTTTTTAAATTTTTACGCGAATACTGATACTTCACCGATGAATCACTAAGAAAAGAACAAAATTCACTTGCGAGGTGCACATGCGACTGTGTCATAATGAACGGTAACACGTAGTAAAGTACACCTAGCTTTGCACATGGTGTTGATTTCTTCCATTGAGAAGTCCATAATTTCACCTGTTTTATCTTCAGTTGTGCTTAATATTTGAAGATTACATATTAGACTGGTTCGCACATCTGGTGCTCACTATATGTTTCGCCTTCTCGAACTTGCTTGTTATCTCTAGCGCATACTCTTTCATATGATAATATTTACCGTTTTTCTTAAATAGACGCAGCAGTTGTTGAATCCATTAAAGGATATCCTGCAAATATACTACGGACATCTCAGCTGTGGGTGGTGATGAATTAATAAAAAGCGATTCTTGAAGACATTAAACTCACTCTCCCATTTGTACAAAGGTTATATATCTCCTCTCCATTGAGCACAACACATTGTAACTTCCCTTTCAACATGCGAGCCAGGTTTTTTTTACCAACGTGTCTTGGCCCAAACATAAAAATAGAAGGAACTTGTACAATGATAAAAAAATCGGTTACCATCATTAATATCTTTTTCTAAGTATTTAATGAGATAGGATATTGGATCTTCAGGCCTGTCAATTATCAGAAGTTTAAGCAACCTCTGGAGAGTAAACGGAATTGTTTATTACCTGAATTAAATCAAAAATAGAGTGTTTATCTGCGTAATGTATGTACTCCGGTGGAATGCGAACAGGTTTAGCAACTTCTGAAATTTCAGATATCATTTTATATGTCTGCCAGAGTTTAGGAATCTATGACAACCAAGTAAAACAAAAGCAGAAAAAATCTTTGAAATTGAATGATGAGAAACTTACAGCAACCACCTACGTCACGATGGTTGTACATCTAAATATGCTTTGAATGGCTTTTCTTATTATCGGAAAGACAGGACAAACAACATATTACTGAGACACATACTGAGAACGTAGCACCCAGAATCATCAGTCATCCTACCGGTAAAGAGAAAATGATGAACTGCGTTTGAGCGGTAACATTTTTCAGAGATTACTATTTAAGAACATAATTAAATAGAGCAGCACCTGTTGAAACATTTAGTTCAGAGAAATAACCCTGTTCTGACCATTTGTCAGGTATCACTAAGATCTTTTTGCTCAGTAATCCTTCGGTTAGACTGACAAACACTGTAGAGAAAACCGAAATAGGCAACTTTAGAAGATATCTGGAAATTGAGGAGACTATATAAATAGGAGACTAGGTGCGGGGTGGCGTGTAAGACAAGTGGGAGAGAAAGAGCCCACTCAAACAAATCAGAAATAAGACAAGAAAGAATAGCAAGATCAGTAAGAATCGAGGTTAGAAGTGCAATGAAATAATGTAGCACGAATACACAAGTTCATTGGGAATAAGTGGGAAGTCTGTAGTATCAGTGTGTGTGGCTTTCCATTCTCTTAAGGCTGTCAACTGGTGGGGCTGCCACCACGTCGATTGGCATTGAATTCTGCGCGTTGATGACCCTATTGAAAAAGGAGTCAGCCCTTACCTTCGTAGCTGCCCTTTCATAGTGGTGATGGGGACGACCGTTTCTGTTGTGAATGCTTAAGATACTGTCGTAATTCTGGTATTATGTCTCGGTTCAGTACCAGGCCAATCAATATTTGTATGCCTTGGTGATGTTGACCATGTTTTTGGAATACATGAGGGTATTCAGGCCGGCTGAAATTATCCCGCATGCTCAAGGTCATTGATGGAGTGAGACGCTCAAGGGTCATTTTCGTCCATGTTAGTCGGTTATGTTGGATTGCAGTTCCGTAGCCGTTCGTTTACACATTGGTTTTACGTTCTTTTTGCATTTATAGGTGGTTCCCATTTACTGATAGCATTCTTTTGTAAAATAGTACTGTTCTTCACACGAAAATAGCCACATTTTGACGTAGTCCTCATTGAATGACACTATGTCGAATGCTGCAGCTTCTACAAGAAATAAACTATTTGTGTAGATGACATTACCCCCCAACTACCCCATCTTCTTCATTGTAGAGATGTTTTGACGCATTCAGCATGAAACACTAATCATTACAACCAATATGCTAATTGTGTCGCAGTAGGATTAAATGACGCGGACACCAACATAATTAGCCAGGAAATGAGAATTCCTATCAATCCAGAAAACATATAACAAAATTTTATTAAAAATTATTGACAAAGAAAATTTGCCGAGCGAAATTTCAACCAACATGCTGGATAAGTCCAGCCTTCAGGCCCACCTGTTGCAGTCGGTAATTATAGTTCCAACTATTCAGTCCGAAAACAGCTGGTAACCCTTCCGTATACTTTTCCCAGCAGATCAATATTTCTTTTCAAGAGAAGTCCTGCCGAGTGGTTAAATATATGTTGTACGTAACCCACATTTGTCCATGTGAACGGATTTTACTGGCACCATTAACCTTGCTTTATCAGGAAGGAGGCCACTGTGCTTTTGTCATTTATCCCTTTTACAAATACTTTACGAGTTGTAGAAACTTTCTAAATTTCTTGTGGTAACATACATTACACCCAAATTGTATTGTTCCTTGGGCACTCATGATTGTAATTCAATTCTATTAGGACAGCTTCATCAGCAAACTGTAAGTTGATGATGATGATAAGTCTCTAAAGTCATTTATAGACTATCCTACTGATATATGTGTGATTGGGTTGAAATGATATAAGGATGACAGTTTAAGAATTCAGCCTTGTGTTACATCCCAATTGGAAATGTGTTTTCTCAGATAATTCGCAAACAGTAATCACTGAATAGAAAACATTCTGTAGAATTTATGAAACTCACTAAATGACGCAGTACTTTTGCAGGCATTATGGTGTTTCCTCAATAAAGCGAGATTTGTATATTTTGGGTGCATAAAACGAGTAAGTGGTATCCTGGCAATAGCAATGACTACAACAAGTCTTTGAATTATGCACTACAACCTTTACTTTACTGAATACTCCAGCAGATTTTAAACAAACACTTGACAAATATCAAATTCATACAGGAAGTCAGTAAGATTTACTAAACTAAAAGCACTTTCGGTTTACATAGGAGTTCTCCATGCCGAATTTATTCCTCCAAGCGTCTGCACAGATAACAACTTCAATTAAATAACATTGACGTTGAAGAAATTCCATTCTTCATTACTAAACTTAATGATAATAATAATGTATTTATTCTAGAAACAGGAGCATTCCTAATGTTTCACTTTATGTAAATGCAGTTACATACAGTTTCACTAAGAACTCAATGCAACTCGGTGCACAATAGTATATACACAAATAAACTGAAAAATAACGTCCTCCTTACCTTCTGAACAACTTGTCTTTATTACAGGATAATAACTTTCTTTCACGTATGAGCCTGAGATATGTCTATGAAATCACAGTATTATATCAGTTAAATCTCGCCTCGAAACCAAGGCCACTTGAAACCAATAGCAACATAGCGACAAGCGTCATTGAGTGGATATGCAATAAAGTCGCTCTCGGAATGAATTTATGAATGGGTACTGGTTTCTTTTGTTAGGTGAGGACAAGAAACTAGGACGTATTTCCAACCTTCTTGTAATATACTTCAGATTAAATTACCCATTTACATAGGCTATGCAGAGGTTTGAATATGGCGATCAGCTACTTAGATACAAGAAGCTGCACCTTAGAAGAGCCTGTTTCTCACTTCTCAAGAAGTACAAATCTCAGTTATTCAATGCATGCAAAAAGTTTTGTATTGTAACAGGATGTACTTTGTTAGGGACAGAATTTCGCGATATGTTCAACATTTTTGATTTCAATACAAATCCACTTGGAAAAGTTTCTTTTTGATCTGGATTATGACTTGAAGTCTGAGGGTTAGCATCTTCGAAGAAAGTTATCTTTGCAATGGCCATAACAATTACTAAGGCAGACATTCCTAAAACATATAACAGATAACTTCGATGTATAAAGGTTTTTTCTACATAGTGTGAGTTCTATAAATAAATATCAGAATACACCTTCCCCGTATGGACACATCAGATTGGTTGTAAGGAGTCATTTTTACGCTAGTTTGCTTGGGGTATCATAGTGTGCTGTCATCAAAGTTTTAATATAATCAAAAAGGGGGATTTTACCATGACGATGAATCTTGAATTGCTGTCTAGTAAATTTGAATCAGCTGCACCTCAGATAAGAACGCACCGACTAGTTGTGCTAACGGTATCATATTTCTAGCCAAAGCTTTACTATTAACAATGTCTGCCTCTTGGGCAAGGAAATTCTACTGACAGCGCAGCGAACTCTTCGAAATATTACAATTCAAGCATAAGACTGGGTATTGTAATCGAGATTTATAGGGACCGTAATAAACAGAGGTGTTATACACTTAACACCATGGAAGATTACTCCTAATCGTTGTCAGAAAAGTGTATTAGAAGAATTGTCGTTCACATTATTAAAATATTAGTTGTGCAAACCATTTATTACCGGACTATATATATAATTTGCCCTCCGACAGATAAAGTTTAAATGTTTCTTATCTTTCACTCATTCTGAGTGGTGTATCAAGTCTTCAAAGAGACAGCTAGTTGACAATAAATAGAGGCATATTCCACTTTACTTTCTATTTTCACTGAGGTCATCCAGACATCGGAATCTTCAACTGGTTCACTAAAGAAGGACTTCAATTCCTCTAACCACAAACCGTTAACATACATCTTTTCATTAGCTCTGGTAAAGCACGTCAGGAAGTCGATGCAATATAATTCACAGCACTTCTCACCAACCTTGGGGCTGATTTTCTCCCGTCCTGAAAATGTGGACCTTTTACAACGGATTGCCCCCTAAGGGAAAAGGATTACTCTGTGCCTACATTCAAGTTCATAGCTGCAGCAGTAATGCACATCAACACGCCACCTAGACCCATTGTCTACGGTGCTGACATAAATGCTATCGTTTGGACTGTTTCGTTGCCGGATTCCCACTTAAATCCAGCCTCATGTAGAAGCTGCATGGAGCCAGTTCAAGTACTTCAATACCAGTACACGTTTACCACACCTCAAACCCTAAGGACCAGAAAGCTATGCATATTCGCTAGGAATAAAGCTACTGTGGGAATTCTTCAGTCATGGTTGAAGTTCGGAATGCGGCTAGATCAAAGTGGACAGCTAAGCTTAAGGAAACATTTCCGTACATGAACGTCAGGAATAAGGCATCCAATGATTTCCTTAACCTGTCTAATAATAAGGATACAATCATACAGGACCGGGAAAAAATGCAAGCAGTGGTAGACTACATTTCAAGGTCTTCACATAGGAGTCGTTAACCCTTATAGCAAAGACACCGGCCGTATGATGGGGTAAGTAGGATCAACTTGATCAGCGCTAACTGAAACATCGTGTCCTAATCCTTACATGAAATGGACTCGGGGTAGTAAATGGGATCCGAACACTATCGTCCAACGCTTCTCTTCGAGTTGGTAACTCACATATTCACCCAACTAGCTAAAACCTTCAAGCTAACTCTGTTAAACGAAGTATTCCGTCGTGACTGAAAGGGCACCACATTAACTGCTATCCACACAGGAGGATCCGGAGACTATCCTTCAAAATACATTCCTACTCGTCTTACTACTACCTTATTCCGGATACCTTAAAGGTTTATCAAGGAAGCTTTCACGGCATGTCCGAAAAATAACAGCTCGTGATGCAGAGCACACTATGGCTCTCGGGAAATCCTCTCACGCCTGACAAACCTATTT